AAAGAGGTGAAGAACATGTACATGGTTTTTGAGGCTCTTTTCACCGTGGAATTTTACGTTTTACAAGAAATTGGCAGTAAGTCACTTGAAAAGTTGGTTATGCTGAAGGATCGTAGGGGCTTTTCGCGTGTAAATCCTCAATTTTTATTTGACCAATCAAAATTTTTTTATATGACGTCACAAAAAGGATTGAACTTGTTGTTCCAATGCCAAGACCTTATCTCATGTCATGAATCGAGAAGAACTGTCGCTATCAAGACTGTACCTATTGGTGATTTTCTTTTCAAGGAGATTTTTTATCAATTTTCTTTTCCGCATCACCAACCAGAAACTGAAAATTGTGCCCAAACTCGTTGTTATTTTGAACTGAAGATAACTCCTGAAACTATGGAGAATCCAAATAATTTCAATATCCAACTAGTGGAACGGAATGTTCTGCCAAATCAACACTCTGAATTAGTATCTGCTGAAAAGATTCATCTTGTCGTTGAGGTGCTTAACCCCACTTATAATAGTCCCGAAATTATGTACCCTTCATTTATTGGGAGACCCATTGCTGAGTTATATTATCAACATGGGCGATATTGGAGATGGGGTAATGATATTTATGATAATCGTAATTATGTCCGATTGGTCGCATATGTTGATCAATTTTTGCCAACTTCCTGACAATTTGGCATTGTGTGACTGTACAAATTGCTTATTTAATTGTTATGAAATTGCTTCATAATAATATAACAAATACTATACCCCGAAAAGCATATTTCAATTTTTAAAGAATATTTTTCGCCTGTACTCGATGCGTTGGTATTTTTATTTTTATTTTAAATTAAATATCTGTAATTTTAAGGTATACAGCTTTTGGATCAGACATTGTGTATTTTTACATCTTTTACATCCTTTTAAACTTTAAATTCATCCTTTTAGTATTAGTATATATAATAATATGTTTTATAACAGTACAAGTCGAGAGCTCTTTTTCTGAAATATTGATCCCTTTACCGAGGTTGGTACCGTGGGTGTGACTATATATCCATCTCTGTTACTAACATAGGTTAGCAGCCAAAATACTGCAATGCTGATTTTTGATACAAATTGTGATACAAATTGCACATGTAACATGCATTATACATATGACTGATTTTGCTGTTTTTTAAACTGTCCATGTAAAACATGTAATTATCCTCAGCATGGCAGTGTCTAAGATATCGTTACCAGCAGATTTTGGTATAGAGAACCTGGACTGTCCTGTACACGGGAACATAGAGATAAAGTTACAAGAGGACCAGAAGATGAGAGCTAACTCCATGATCCTATCCCTCCATAGTCCGGTGTTCCAGAACATGTTCTTTAACCTGGGTAGAACTTCTGTAGACTTGGACGATTTTAGGGCTGATGTTGTTGGACAGTTTCTAGCGGGTTTGTACGATGGTAAAGTAGATGTTTACAGGGACAACTTTAGAGAGATGTACAAGATGGCTACAGTTTTTAAGATTGAGTGGTTGATATTGAGATGTGAGCATGTTTTCTGTAAGATAATCAATGATCTTCTTGTGGAATACAACATGAGGTATACTAATGGTGGTGATCCTCTGGCTGATACCCTGGGAAGAATGTCGTGGATTTTTGAGGAGGCAATATTTTCTTTGACAGCTTCTAAAAGTTCAGAATTGCTGAATATAACTGCTGATCTTTTCATTAAAAAGATAAGCTCACAAGGCATTACCCAATTTGTTCAATTCTACTTATCTGACTTTACCAATCTCTCTGAGGAGAAGCTGGAAATTGCGATAAAGATAACAGGAGAGAATGTAGTCGTCCTGTTGCAAACTGTGAGGGATAATATTTGTAATATTACTGAAACAGGATTGAGCAATAGTTGCAGGTTTTTGTTAAAGACCATGGACTTGGTGAAGTGTAGACAACAAGAACCTGAGTTATATGAGGAGATATTTGATATCTTGTTAGAAAACATGGACAAACTTTCTTCTTTGGATGCGAAGATGGTCGCTCAGCTGAATAGACAGACTCTGAAATCTCTCCTGAAGTTTTCAAATCATCAAATGATCGATGATCCAGACCCTGGTTCAGACATATCATACGAAAATATTATCAACCTTTTCCATGGTAAAAATTCCCTTGACATTCATGCAAGATGTATGAAATTAACGGAGTCAATAAACATTCGCTCAAAGGTTGCAAGAAAAGTACAAGGCATTCATGCCTGGATCGATGTTATATCGCAAATGAATGAGGTCAAGAATATGTACATGGTTTTTGAAGCTCTTTCTTATCTTAGAAGTTTCATTTTTAAAGAATTTGATGACCAGGCATTAGAAAAGATGGTCGTGTTAAAAGATCGAAGGGGCTTTTCTCGAGTGAATCCACAGTTTTTGAATGATCGCTGTCGTGAGTTACCAAGACTATTGAATTTATTATTAGCATGTCCGGAACTGGTTTCATGTTATGAATCGAGAAGGACCGTCTCAAGAAAGTGGGTTCCTCTTAATGATTTCCTTTTCAAAGAAACTGTTCTTCATTTTCGTTTTCCGCATTACCAACGAGAAACTGAGAATTGTTCTCTACCACATTGCTGTTTCATACTAAAAATAGCACCCGGAACTATCGAGAATCCGGAGAATTTTAATATACAGCTTCTGAAGGACACTTCTCAATCAAATCATTCGTGCTTACGGCACTCAGAACTTATTTCGGCAAACAAAATTCATCTTGTTGCAGAGAAACATAAACAATGTTTAAATAATCCCTCAGGTTTTTATTCAGTGTATCTTTCGTATCTTGGAAGACCTACAAGCTACGGAAAAACTTTGGAGTGGGGTAATATAAGAAGTTCATTATCAGGAGATACCTGTGACAGTTTTATTAAACTGGTTGCATATGTTGATCTGTGATCAATTCATAATTCAGAGCATATGACATTTTTGTGCTGGATTGAAATGTTTATATCTATTATTTATATAATATTTATTATTTATACATACTTCATAATCAAAATTTTCTGTTTTGTAGTGCCCCTTTGCCGACGCCCTGAAAATTATTTAAAATTCAGTCAGTATATTTTTCACGGTTGCCTCCTTCATTGGGTTATTGTTTTAAAATTGAATTTACCAATAGTTCATCAGCAACATTTAGAGTTTTTATTTTTAGACAAATCATTTTTTCAAGATTTTTCATTCGGAGCGAGTTAGGTTTTCCTGATATCATTCATCACTCTCCAAAACAACTAAGATTTACAATGGCCAACTTTTTAAACTTTTCAACCGTTGCTCGAACTGTGAACGGGTAATCTAACATGTAAATATCCCCAGCATGGCAGTGTCTAAGATATCGTTACCAGCAGATTTTGGTATAGAGAACCTGGACTGTCCTGTACACGGGAACATAGAGATAAAGCTACAAGAGGACCAGAAGATGAGAGCTAACTCCATGATCCTATCCCTCCATAGTCCGGTGTTCCAGAACATGTTCTTCAAACTGGGCAGAACTTCTGTTGACTTTAAAATTTTCACCGCTGATGTTGTTCGACAGTTTTTTGCCGGTCTGTACAGCGGTAAAGTGGACATCCAGAAAGGAAACTTCCGAGAGTTTCACAATTTAGCGGCTGTGTTCAAGATTGAGTGGCTTCAACTCAGGTGCCACCTTGCTTTCATGAAAATCATCAAGAGTTTCCTGGTGAAGAACGCAGATAGGAATGAAGAGGACACCCTCTCCGACGAGATGGAGGAAATGAAGTGGATTCTTGATGAGGCTATATTTGCAAAGAAGGTTATGAAAATCTCGAAGCTGTTTGAGGTAACCTGTGATGTGTTCGTAGTTAAAGTTGTTGATAGAACACCATTTATCAAATACTACCTGTCTGATTTTGCAAAAGTCTCCACTGACCAACTCGATATTTCGATCAAGATTGCTGGAGACAATGTTAAGGTTTTGATGGAGATATTGAAAGATAGCATGATTGACGTGTCGATCAGTGGACTTGGCAAGAATTCAACATATCTTTTGGGAAATATCGATCTCGGTAAATGTAGGGAGCTTGAACCTGATCTTTATAAGCAAATATTCAACAAACTCATGCAAAAAAAGGAAACGCTGGTATCGAAAACAGCGGAGCTGAAAACGGCACAGAGTGGTTAATTGTTTGGAATTTGTTTCGATTTAAGCTGCAAATCCCATTGACTAGAACAACTGGAGGGTTTGAGATTTTAGAAACCTTCATCAAGATTGTACTTTCTGTACATGATCTTAGGGTGTATATACATTTATGGGATTTTGTACCATTTTATTAACAATTTATGTTTATTTTTTTCAAAACGATCGGTTTAGACTTCAATTTTCTTTGATGACTATAGAAAATACGAAAGAGATGTATATATGTTGATTCTGGCGGGGAGGCTTGGCATGTTTGTTTGAAACGTGACAGCAATAAACCAATCAGCTTCCACTATAGACCAATCAAGCTCTAGAATCACTGTCACGTGTCAAAAATATGCCTCACCTCCTCACCAGAGTCCAAATCTGTTAATATAATACTGAATATAATTTTGACTACTTATTATTTATTTTTATTGGCTCTTATATTAATATTTTAAAGGTAATATGACTATATTTAAAATTTTTTGCTGAAGTTAATTTTATCTTAAAACGGGAAACGTGATATTTGAAAAGGAGAGACAACTTTTGCTATATTTTTGGCAGTGATAATATTTTGGTATTATTCATACAATCTTTATTACACTGGTTTTTGATATTTTATGACTGATATTTAAGAATTATTTGATGTTATTGTTTTATATCTGTTTTGTAATAAAACATTCTCGATAATTGTCCGTAATACCTTGTCTTCTTAGCTTAAATTACAACTACTGAAATCTGAATGATCTTAGTGTGTAGGTTTGTGTTTTGTTACAAGAAGATGTTTGGCCGTCTTATAAAATAATAAAATTGGTATAAATAGCGTATAATTTATTATCATTAATTCAACTTGTTTTATCAGTTAGACACTAATATGGAAAATCAAGAAACTGCCACTTACAACCCTAACAACGATCAGGTGCGTTGCAAATGTACTAATTTACTAATGTACTAATTTACTAATGTACTAATGTTGTGACCAATAGTAAATATGTTTAACCACCCGGTAAATTCATTGTACTGTCAATTCTTCTGTGAGTAATTCATTGACAGTCAATGTTTACCTAACTCACTAAAATTTACTTTCGTCCCAAATTTCTCAATCTAGCATTTTCCAGTTCTACAAGCAAGAAGTCCGGTTAGAAGAAGGGATAGACGTTGATAACCTCTTCTCTGGAAAAGGAACCACGTTTACAGTAAAGCAAGAAACCCCATTAAATGATTTTAATGACTTCAAGAAACCGGAACTGTGGGACACAAATGAAATCTCCCCTATCGGGATTGATCCAAACGCTCATAAGGACGTATGTTATGTTTATATCTTTCACGTTTCTAAGAAAAAATTCTAAGATGAAATACTCACATTTTATGACTTATCAGCGAACTTTTCACTCAAAACATCGAATGTTACATTACATGAATGAAATAGAACAATTTAAACGATACAATAAATTATTATTGAATCCCTCTATATCATTATCAGGGAGCGTTCAAGGGAATAGAGCATCTCTTCACTGAAAAGTTAACAGATGACGGGTTTATTATCAAACAAATGATAAAGCCTGGCTCCGGAGCTATCATACCATCCCGAGCATGGGTTCGAAGTAAGTTTGGGAGTTTTATAGATTGTATTATATCGACATTAAATTGCAAGGTTATGAGTTTGCAACGTGACACTGGTAATTCTGTAATCTGCTGTTACTAATAATATCTTTGTTGAATTCTCCTAAATACCCGTAGCAAAAAGTTAACTTCTACTTCACCCAGTTCACTACTCGATATACGCTGAAGGACACGACGAGCCCATCGACTCCACCAGACTGCGTTCCAGAACTCACGATTTTATCGTGGGGGACGGAGTCAACATTCCTGCTGTCGACATCTCCGTTAACAGTATGAAGAAGGGGGAGAAGGCTCGTTTTCTGGCGGAGTGCCTTTATTGCTATGGAGATATGGGTGTCCCACCTAGGATCCCCAAGAAAGCTAGATGTAAGTTTTATTAGTGCTTTAAAACGTTGAACCATATAATTCTCAAAATCAGACACAGGAAATAACACCTTACTACGAATTTATTGTATTAGAACATTGTCATTATCATTCAATTTCTTCAACAATTTTGTTGAATTGGTCAGTCGATTTGTTTTCGATTATAATTGAGTTTTTTGCCCTTGTGAAGCTTATGGTTTGAAAAATTGCCGTGCGTTAATTGTTAAAAGCCAGGGCCAGTCTAAGAGTTGTAGATTGTAGATTATAAAAAATATAAAGAATAGTAAACATTTTACTAAAATCTTGGATTAATCTGGTAATATTTATCCGAGTCCAAAATTTCACTGTCCACTCCCTCGCTCCTTAATAACATGACATGATATCCGGAAATTTGTTTACATGACACAGTTTTTATCAAGTGCGGCTATTTGAGAAACAATCCAGGATCCACCCCCGGAACCTTTCCATCCTCCACAAGTACACGCAAGGATTGAGAGCAGCATTGACGGGGATAAGTACCCTGTATCCAAGCAAGATGAAATACCACACGAAGAAGGGACTCTGGGTGGCTCCAATTCCGAGAGACGGTATCCAGAGGAAGAATATGTTGTTCAAAATTTCAGCCAGAAAATGGGGCAAATTGCAGACAAGAAATACGGCTGTAAAGATTGTGATTGTGATGGAAGCTCTTCTGAAATCTTTGCCTCCAGGACTGGATCCCCTTGCCAGTGCCACGATACTCAAGATGAAGCACACAAATACGATCATAGAGATAAGGATCAGGTTGACAAGGTTGTTTATGACTAGGACTGTATATTTCCAATCAGCCGGATCCACGGAGTTGGTTTCAGTACAGGATGCAACTAAAGGGACGTACACAAACATGGTAGTTCCAGATCCCAAGGATAAAGTTTCCACAACGAGAATATACCCAGCATAAACCAAACATGCCGCCAGAATTACTGATCTGTTAAATGTGCGAATCAGGCCGAGAATAGCAAGAGTCCTGGTGACACCCATAACCAGACCATGAACTGGGAGAAGCGCAGTGTAAAGTAGAAGGGAGCATACCACACCCCACACAGTGTGGAGTTTAGGAACATTCCTACTGACTTTCTACCGCTCATCAGGGAACAGCTGACTGGAAGAGTCAGAGCGCAGGTGCAAGCATCCACAGCGCTGATTACTGTGTACAGAACATTCGGAAAACATTCTTTTGTCCTACTGCTGAAGAAAATAAGAGATGATATGTTACCAACAATTCCGACGAGCACGCAAAGAACCAGAACAGCCCCTATCACGTGGTCAGATGTTTTGTTAAAAGTGTGGCCTTCAAGTTGTGACACGTGGAAACTGTCGTAGCTCCTGTTTGCCATCTTGCAAAGGCCTTTTTTTATTTAGAACGTCAAGAATGATTTACAACTTCGGAAATATTTCCAACGCCATTCTGGGAGAAATCTTGTTAATTGCTCTGAGATGATTCAACTATGTATATAATAATAATAATAGAATCTTACTATACATAAAGCAGGACGATATAATATGAACGTTGATATTAAGAATGATTAATGATTTTTCTGAACTAAACTACTGCTTGTCCTTGTGAAATAAACTGGAGCCTATCGTGTGATTTAAAACAAGCATAGTAATCGTCTGCTTGTATATATAGAATGTATATATATATATATTTCATTGGCTGGACTTCTACACAATAAAAGAAAGCGGTTGTGATTAGATCTTCGTAAGTCTTTGCATCATTTATTTACATCAATTCTGAGAAATCATATCATTAAAGTAACTATGTCAAATACGAATCATATACAATTGAGATTAAATACAAACTAAAAGCAGTGGGAAAATCTGATGAACGGAAATTTAAAAAAGAAACTGAAAGCCGTTAAAAATATACTCTTATCTTACCTCATATCTAAATACTGATAACTGATTCTCGGAAAATCACTTAAAATCACAAAAAAAACCTGTAAAATTTATATTAAAGTAAAAAAAATTTTACGCACGTCTCTGGAATATTGGTATAACTAAGTAAAATCTACAAATACAAAAACTAAAACTAAGCTCCGGCAGACTTAAAAAGTATATGGTTAGTGGTTACTATCAAGGGTGTTCATACCCTCAAACCTTTCTAGGGTTTTCAATTGGGTTTGGTAGAACCCCTCTCTAGCTTCCATAGCCTTTTCTTTGTCTGATTTACTAACATTGGGCTTAAATACTAAAGAGCTAAAGCGTCTACTATAATGACAGAAAGGTGTTTACTAAGTGAGGAATTATAGGCGGCTATGGTACTAAAATCTAAACCATGATCAATATCTAAAAAATGATTAACTAATTTACAACTTCATATACCTTTCTTTATGTATATAAATATAATAATATATATACAACTGGTTTTCTTCTCTTATATATATATATATATATATATATGCTTGTATTACTATTATAATAGAATAACAATAATTCAGAGATCATCTGCCAAGCGGTTCAAGCACACCAAAATTTTATACTACGACCGACTGTAATTAAATTGAAAAGTGAGATCAAAATATAAATCTATCTTAGTATGTAAGTTTGTTTTCTTGACGATATTACAGCAAGCTTTATTCAATTTAAATTCAACAAAGGGATCTTAGAGAATAGAGCCTTGAGGAATACCATAATTGATCGTCTTGGGACTGGAATCAACCCCGTTGACATCAGTTCGTCACAGTCAACGGGGTTGATTCCAGTCCCAAGACGATCAATTATGGTATTCCTCAAGGCTCTATTCTGGGCCCCCTACTCTTCGTCATCTATATAAACGACCTCCCCGGAATCTCAGACCTGGCCAAGTTCATACTTTACGCCGATGATGCAAATATTATAGTCACGGGCCATAACGAGGAAGAAATTCAAAATAAGCTCTCCATGATTGCAACACTTCTAGTGAATTGGGTAAGTAGCAACGGGCTTTCTTTAAACCTGAAGAAGACCCACTATATGGTCTTCAGTAACCGTAAAGTAGATTATTCCAAAATAAGTCTCAACATATCTGGAACAAACATTGAACGGGTTACTGAGGCACGGTTTCTGGGTGTTATAATTGATGAGAAACTAACATGGTGTAAACATATCACAGCGGTAAGATTAAAAATGAGTAGGTACATAGGCATCATGTTCAAATTAAAACGACATCTGCCCCTAAAAGTGCGACTACAACTCTACCATAGTTTTATTGAGGCACATGTTAACTACTGCTCGTTAGCCTGGGGATTCGCGGCAAAATGTCACATTGAGACATTATTCCGTAGACAAAAGCAAGGAATGCGGATGGTTATGCCAGGATATGTAAATTACTTTTACAAAGACGGCAAATTGCCAGCTCACACCAGAGAAGCATTCTGCAAATTTGAGATTTTGACAATACACGGCATCATCGTAAAGAATGCGCTTACATTAATGCACCGCATGAAGCACTTTCCCAACACAGTACCTGTATCAATTAGAAATTTGTTTCCAGATAACATACCCACGCATGGTTCAAATCATGAGAACAGTAGCGAATGGCTAGATACGTACAATAACCGATGTTTCAAAGCATCCATCTTTTTTAAAGGACCTTTACTAGCTCTAACAGACACCAACAAGAACATCACGTCCCTACCTAGCTTATTTTCAATAAATATTTACAAATCGAACGCAAAACGCGTGCTTCTTGAGCAACAGTCAACACTAGCTAACTCAGAGGACAGCTGGCCAGCATTTCTGCTACACAACGTACCTGGTTTGAGGAAGTCCAATAGATGAGGGATGATTGAGTAATACAGCGACCAATAATCGCTAAATCATGACATCATATCATAACATAACATAACATAGGACGACAGCAAACACACAATAAACGAGCAGTAATAAACAACGTTCGCTTAATGGACTGACATATTTCAGCATATTTTTCACTGCCAAAGCGCTGATAACAGCAAGCCTTACCCCACTCCGCGCGGATTTTTAATGCACTAAATCTTAAAGATAATTCTCGCGATAAAAATTTTCATCGTCACGCTTGAAAATTTCTAGAAATTAGAATAGCCGTATATTATAACAAACTATAGCAAGCAGAATTAAAAGATAAAAGGTTCTGGGACTTGAGTGGTACAAATAAAATGAAAGGCATGCTAATCATGCTCACGTACTGTAATGTGTCGAGAGTTTTTTTAATTTTTACTATTTGACAAAATAATTGATCTTTTTAGTGTGAGTGTGATTTCAACTTTGAGTTTGAAAATATTTTGAAACGACTTTCGATATTATTGATTATTATATTTAATAAACTGTCTCAAAGCCCTTAGAGGTGGCTCTATACGGGTCTTTACAACATCTAGCGGCAGAGTAATGAACAGTACAGAACACGACAAATTACAAACCAACAAATGGTTCTACCCAATATTAAACTTAAGTGCAGTAGAAGTCACTGTTGAGGTAGAATCACATGATTGCATATATGATAAAGTAATAATGAAAGTAACCGAGGTTATGTGTCCAGGAAATTAATAAGGAAATAACTCTGAATAGCAAAAAGTGTGCCGACATTGGCCATGTCTGAGCACAATATTATAAGATGACTAGATAATAGATTGAAACAATGAAACATGGTCGGCACGGCACCGACGGCTACTTCATTAAAACACCACAAACAGTTGATCAGTTCTGCTGATACAAGCCTGTGATAGTCAATACATACCCAATCGAGTAATGAGTATGTTAGCACTTCAGTGGTTCATATAACTCAGTGCAGTTGTGCAACAGACTTATATTTACCCAGTTTGTTTCAGTACTGCTGGATATAGAAGTGGTTACTTACTACGACGATAACAAGCTCAATGAGTACGATGCCATGCCCATGGATGATAGACGAGACATTCCACTAGATGGAGTGCTGAAACTAGCTGCTATCTGCAGACAGGTGAGGGATTAAAAATAAAAGCAGACCTGTGAAATACAGTACATACTATGATACTATAGCATCTAGTCTCTAAAGTCTAACACCACTGCTTTTTTTGAAACCTGACCGCACAAATCTGTCTATATTTTCACCAGACATCTGATAGACGCAACATTTGACAAAAAACACCGAATCCTCAGAAAGGGAACGAAACGTTCAAGAAGAACTCTCGGCAGGCTTACAACAGCTATCTGAAGGGTTACAGGATCCTAGACTCTCACTCTCCTTCTGACGAGGATGAGGAGTGGAAACTGCAGGAAGAGAAGGTAAGCCAAAGGGAAAGCCAACGAGAAATTAAACTAACTTACTTATTCGGTCATATCACGTGAGGGGAGCATTTTAACCCTATGTCATAAGGGGGGGGGGGGGGGTTTCATCCTTAAATCTTTAAATACTTTCATAGATCACCAGCTGTAAAAACCAAACAATAGAAAATATGTCACCTACAATATTTTTCGAAAATTTGTTTGCCAGTGATCTGGATCTTATTGCATGAAATGATAAAATGTGATTCGGGAATACTTAATTCATCAAATTATATACAACTTACAAAGCAATGTCGGCACTTAGTCTTAGATGATTATATTTTAAAATATTGGCAAGAATAGGTTACTTTGGCTTCACGCATGAGCAATTATACCAAATCTAGCAATTGGACCCCCCTCCCAGAATGTGTTGGAGTCTTCTATTGTAAAGTTAAAAAGTTATAATATTGAATGCTATTATTCTACTTCAATTATGCTCATCACCAGCTCAAATAGCCCGAGCCATCCTGTCCATCTAATTGTAAAACCTTCTATGAGAATAATTCTATAAATACATCTTGCATTGTCAATACTCAAAGACTTTGGCAAGCTTCAAGACATGTCTTGGAAACTTCCTAGACACCCTTCCAGAAAAGCCCTCTACTCCTGAATACAGTGCAGAAAACTCTAACTCGATAATAGACTGGTGCAGTCAAGGAGGTGGTCCGCAGATTGCGTGATGGCCGTGAAGTTGCCCACTTCTAAACCTCTCAATAGGTTCAATAGGTTCAATTGTCAGAAAACTCATTGTAAGACACTTTGTAAGTTAATTGTGATGTTAAACGCAGCGTGTAAGGTAACGTTATACTTAATATTATATACTATCCAGTTGAATAATCCAACCTGAGAATACTTAAAGGCTGCAAATTTTGAGAATTACTCAGCTTAATTGCGGGTTTTTTGCCTCAAAAGTGTTTTGTCAAAAGCGGTTTTGAGCAGGTGCGGAATCGCACTATTTACAAAATATTACCGCGCCTATGTGTTGCCTCTGTATATTAGGACGCAATGAAACCACCGGACCACGATGTGTGGGGACTTGCCACCCCATGGCAACATTAAAATATATCGACTCTGTTACATCGTTTCCTGTCAATATAAAACTCCGTTACAAAATGAACTGGGATCTGGCAATACTACACCTTAGTTCGATAAAATATGATAAAGTATTGTAAAACTAGACTTAAGTAAAAGTCTGAAAGAATATAGAAAACAAAATATATACTGCTTGAAAGCTAAATAATAAACTGCGAACGAATAGTTAACGTGATATAAAACTGTTCCGGTACGATCGTATCGTATTCTTTAGTATGGTATTTGTGAGAGAAGGTATCAAGTAGATCTTAAACTCGGAATGTTACAAATTATGATACATCTCAATTCTCATGACAACCATGAAACAATTTTCAAATGACAAGTATCGTATCGTTTAAATACTAACGGTTTTTGAGAAGTGGTGGCATGTAGGTTTATAACCTACCGACCCGCGCGCCGAGCTGCGTCTGGTTGCCGTTGAAATATTTAAAGCAATAATTTTCGGGTATCACCGGTTAAACTTAGAGTGATTAAATTTCCAGATACGGATCTCGCTGAACTTAGCTCAGGCGTGTTTGGAGCAAGGGAAAACGTTTGACTGTAGAAGATACGCTGGCGAGGCAGCTAAGTACTTACTGAATGAGAACTTAAAGAACCCAACAAAGCTAGCAAAGGTAATAATAATAACTAACCGACTCTAAGAAGGTAAGAAGGGTCAAGTGTCAACTTGGCCCAAAAAAGTGGGTTTTAATTTTGCGATTCGGGGAGTTACGAGGCAACTTATTACTGATTTAGTAAACTTTTAGAGCTGGTATAACTATAAACTATACAATATACATGTTTGCCAACTGTATGTTCATTCATGATTCAGTTTCACGAATGATATAGCAGCTTCAAGTTTATACTATTTTCAGGCGCACTACACCATATATAAAAGCTACATGAAGGAACAGAAACTGGGCGATGCTAAGAGGGAACTAGAGATAGCAGTAAAACACGCTCCCCACGATAAAACTATCAGAGAAGCCTTCGTTAAGTTAGAGAAGGCTCAGGCCAGAGAAAATGAACTTGAAAAAGGTGCCATGTCTCATATGGGTGAGCTAATGGGTTGGAGGGGTTGACATCTTGTTTCTGTGTTTTATGCTTAGTTTAATTTGTTAATTTGTTTTTTAAAGAGCATTAAAAGTGAAAAGGATTACGTCAAGTCAGCTGATGTGATTTTTACGGTTTTAGAAACATTATGATTAGGCGAGAGAATGACCAATCAATGGTTTATTGTAACAGACCTATCGAAGACAAACATGCGCTTTCACCACAAAGATCATTTAAGCGTTGCGCAATTTATATATTAAATTCGAGCACAGGGCCGTTGATTTGAGTTTTTATCATGACTATTTATCAATTCTCAGATTATTCAGGGTAATTTTGATTTTTGCGTGATCGTGCTCGCCATCAGCCATATTAATACTAATAGTAATACCTCTTTTATCGTATCTTGTCTATTTTAATCTCACTTTGTTTTAAATAGTTGAAATGTGATAATTTTCCCAATTTCATATCAATTTTTTTTTGTTGGGGACCGGCCCGAAGTACCAGCCAATGTTTACTCAAAAAATAATATATATAATAAGTGTTATCAATTCAAACTCAAAACTCGTACAAGATTAGATCTCATTAAAACGATTAAAATGTATATAATAGAGCTTGTCGAACAAAACATAGCTGAGCATATATAAAGTTGCCTTTAGTTGACATTATCATATTAATATGCTTTTTAGAGTTGTTAGAGTGGAAACAGGCGCATAGCTACTGCTAGCTCGCTATTCCAAAATTTTTAAAATTTAACGACTGTTATCAGTCGCATAGCGTCATGCCGTTTTTGCTGGCGAATTGATGGCAGTGTAACTGAGATGGTATGCAGTGAAATTGATTCTGTGACGGCGTGCTTATGGGACAGAGTTATTATTAGCATTACGGTTGATGTTGCGCTCTGATTTCCTTAGTCCCGTTATATTGTATAACATAAAGTTAGGCCATTCGTCTGCAATGCCCTCGTTTTGTTGATCAATGAGCATGTTTTTTATGCACCTTTTGTAGATGTTAAGGTTGAATAGACTTGGCAAGGAAGTTGCTGCGACACTATATCTGTTTATTGCTAATAGTGGACCTTTGTAGAATACTGAATTGTTGTAAGGGTGTTTACCGTATTCATCTGACCATAAAGTTGTAAGACTCGAATCCGGATCGGCGACGTTAAATATTGGTGCACTGTTAGGTATTGTTTTCTTTATAGAGGGAGGCACTAGACTTGGGAAGTTTTTCAGCTTATGTATAAAAACTAATGCGTTCTTTACGATGATACTATGAACTGTCAATATTTTGTGTACATAGAAACCAGACTTGGTACTTGCTGGTGGTGTACCATCTTTGTACCAGTAATTAACAAAACCTGGTAGTATTGCTCTAAGACCCATTTTCTGTTTAACAAATAGTGTTTCTATATGGGATTTGGCAGCAAAACCCCAGACGAGGGAGCAGTAATTAAGGTGAGACTGCACAAAGCTGTGATATATTTGTAAACGTGCTTCCAGAGGCAAATATTTTTTAAGTTTGTACATGACTCCAATGTATCTGGCCATTTTCATTTTCATGGCAGAAATATGTTGCGACCAGTTCAGTATGTTATCTATTATAACACCTAAGAAACGGGCTTCTGTTTTTCTTTCGATTGTGACACCAGAAATTACTACATCGCGATAAATGAGGTTTCTTTGTCGAGAAAAGATCATATAAACTAAAAAAGATCATATAAACAATATATATATTGACGGGTGATACTCGTAAAATATCTGTTCCATATACAGGACCGTCGACGAGTCCAACTCGGCGCGCGTCCTGGTAGGTTGTAAACCTACAATATATATATATATATTTTTTTGTAAACCTTGTATCAATCAGTTTCTGTTCGATTCCAATTCAACTGATCCTTTTTCTTGTGTAAATTGCTTGTTGCTGGTAGAATTTAAATTTACTGAGACTCTATTTTTAGTGTAAGTCTACCTGACAAGCCTATCTAATCATTGATTACAAAATATTGAGTATTTATCTAGTTTAACACGTTATCTAGAAGTAGAAAGCCCTAAGTGACTCTTGGGAACCTAACTCACTACTTTGACTCATAAAAGTAGTAAGTTAGGTTTCGAATGACTTAAACCCTAACCCAATTCTTAGCTGTACTGTAGCTGTAATACTTCATAGCATATGCTAAAATTGTTGGTTTATAACCTGTCAAGACGCGCGCCGAATTGAACAATCGTCTTAAATATTAGAAACAAATATTTCAATAGTATCACCCGTTAAGCATAATTTTGCATGCTAGTCTATAAAGTAGACTAGTCCCTCACAGATATGCTAACGGGTGATACTCGTAAAATATCTGTTCCATATCGTCGACGAGTCCAACTCGGCGCGCGCGTCCTGGTAGGTTGTAAACCAAACCTACAACGCGCGTCCTGGTTAACCTACAAGTACAACAGATATGTAAAAACTGAAAAGAGCGCCGCGCGCGCAGAAGAAAGCCGCGCCAGGCAATACAATACAAGAAAACATTTAAAAATTTGTGAAATGAATCGAGCGCTACTTTAAAGATTCTATCATGATTCTAAACAGATAATGCAAATTTACATTTGCCTACATTATTTCTTGTTGATGGCTTTCCGTTTTGTTCTAACGTCCCAGCTAAGCTAACATATTTGCATTCATACTAACCATGTTGGTATAATTTAACAGCTGAATCAAATAAAATCAATGCATGATCAATGATGCATCATCAGCAAAGCTAGTGCCTTAACACTGACAATTATTTGTGGCTCGCTTACACTATATACAGTTAATTGAATCAACATGAAGCAAGTATATGATATGATATAGCATATTAAATTGTTATAGTCCAGTCACCTGAATAGGTTTAGGCACGGGCACTTCAACAATGAGCATATTTTCAGAAAGGGCCGACACATATTTTTTCCGTAATTATGAATAAGGGACCATAATTATTTCAATAATGTAGCTGTATAGATTTAGTATTGTTATATATTGTATATAATGTAATACTTAATTGCAACGAAATAACGTAGAAATTAGGAATATCGTTTTTTGAATGGGGTGACGATTTAAACATTGATTTGATTTGATTCAATGATTCGATTTATTTTGATCTTTCCCACTGCACAGTACAGTTTATGATGAAGTTTATCATGATCCTCCTTGGCCTAAATAGCAAAGCTTTGATGATAGATGATTCAGAAAATGCTTTCAATGATGTGGACAATGATGAAAGAAGCTTTTTTCAAAGGGTGCCACTAATCTAGTTCTAGCGAAGCAGCTAATGTACTCATGACCCCAAATATCTGAAATATTAAGCTGTGAGGTTTCAAAGTGTTGGTAGTCCAATGTTATCATCCAGTCCAATCTGTTCCACCACGACGGGGGCCGGGGGGTCTTCAACAAAATTCTCTTGAAATTGACTTTGTAGTTGTTTCTGATAAAGGGGAGTGATACATATCAGCTTTTTTTGGTCCCATGGAAAAATATTGTTCCTAGCCGAAATTATTGCCGGTCAAAAGTCAGCTCTTATGTGTAATTGTATTGCGCGAGCGATTTTCAATCGCGCGCCCTGAAAATCGATTCTAAAAATCTGTCTTCTCCTACATTTTTTGAGCAATCACCCTGAAACTTTCAGGATATGTTCTAAGGACCATTTAAAGGAGATTTTCGGGCCAGAAATTTGAGAGCTGTCATAAGATGATTGCCTAAGTGTTGTAACAAAGAGCCCCCCTAACCCAGTTGTGCGAGGGGGAGGGGGGGGGGGGGGGGGGGTTTGCGCCATCTTAGTTGTAAAGTAAAGTAAAGTAATTTTGAAAAACTTAACAACAGTACTATCAAAACTGTGTGTTCTGCTCTGATGAAACCTGAAAGATAACATTCTTAATCGCAGAACACACTCAAGATTTCCAGATTCACCGGCTTACAAATTATGTTAAGTAAAATTTGGTAACTTGTTAAAACCTGAAGCATGGTCTATATATTTGGTCATGTCTGTGCCTATTATGACTGAAATACGAAATTACTTATATTTCTCAAAGTAAGACTTGTTAAGATATTATATAATTAAACCTATAAACTCTTCTTCTACTCTATTCTAGAAATGATATTTTTGCAATGTGACAATTCACCAGACTGCCTATCATAATGGCTGCATCATAAAATGGAATTAGTGTCGACTGGTAGGCAAGACAGCAATGGGATTGTAGTACAAAATGGGCAAAATCAAAGTGAGTAATGCTGTTAAAGTTTATTGCTTGTTGTTCTTAAGGTCCTGAAGATTGATCTAGACCCAGACTCATCATTTTCAAGTGAAAAATGTTTTTTTCTTGACAGAATGAGCTACTCAATGATTTTATCATTTTCAGGTAGTGTTGGTAACATAAAGAAACTTCAAAATGGGGTCTCAAAAAGATCACTCGTCCCAGAAAACTTCATACACACTCGACTTCCAGATGCTGTTATACTGAAGTAAGATAACTTTCCAGCCCACACCGATTCTATTTATCCCCGACCTTAAAATCCACTCGAAAAGAGATGTTGAGGCAAATTGAAGAAATGAACCTATAAGGAATGCCTAGCAGTTTGAATATATAGAATGATACATTTGTCACTTCGACAAACACCCACTGACTATATAATGCACTCATTATACTGTTCATTACTACTCCATTGTTCATACCAAACTTAATATTGCTACACTACTGTAACATAAACTGTTTTTCAGAATATTTTGGTATCTGGACATCATCTCCTTATGTCGGTGTGCTAAGGTCTCTCAGAAATGGAAAGCTTTGGCTTTGGACGGCAGTAATTGGTCGCATGTCGACCTTTTTGAATTTCAGACAGACATCACCGTAAGCACAGTTACTGAGCAAATTATAATTAAGTTTATGTCAGACTGATCCTGTATTTTAATAACATTTCAAATCATTTGACTTTAACTTTAAATAACTATAATGCTTGCTGGATTACCATAAATGTGAAATATTTGCAAATTTTTCAGCTACCAGTTGTCAGCAGTATAACCAGTAGATGTGGACCTTTTCTCAGAACGCTTAGTTTGAAGGGCTGCAAGAGTATAGAAGATAAAGCCATTTTGTAAGTTTTCCCATGTTCATTGTGAAGTAGCCGTAGTAATTACGGAGTAAATATATTATAATTTATGAATACAGTAAGTTATACTGTAAATGCAGTAAATGATACTCATAATGAAATATTTGTATAATTTACATCAATAAAATGACCTGGGTACAGTGCAGACAGTCCTTGTTTTGTTAGGCCCCATGTAGCCGGTGGGCCCGACATGATACGACATATCTCGACACGTCGGGGTTTGTCGGGGTTTGTCAGGGTTTGTCGGGGTTTGTCGGGGTTTGTCGGGGTTTGTCAGGGTTTGTCGGATTCGTCAATAATGGATGAAAAGTGATTAGGCTCAGAGAGGCCGAGATGGCTCAGCTAGCTAATTAGCTTTTTTTTTTTTTTTTTTTTTTTTTTTTTCTTTTTTTTCCTTTTTTTTGTTGTCGCGACACCCACTGAAGGCCTCATGAAGCCGGTGGGCCCGACATGATACAACATATCTCGACACGTCGGGGTTTGTCGGGGTTTGTCGAGCCTGGAGGCTACATGGGGCCTTTTTGTTATATTATACCAGAAAAATCCAGAGTAAGTTGTTCAAGAATAACATTGCATTAACTATCAAGGATAAATATATTATATAAGTAAACGTTTACTGTATAATATTTAAAGTAAAAGATGTGCAACTTCACGGCTATTTATAGCCGTCGTTAGCAAAATTAAAAAGTTCATTAATTGTTCACTGAGTAACTAACATCAACGGAAGAATTATCAGAGCCTCGATTCTGTTTAACGTCATGGTTTTAATTTACATTCCAACCAACTCTCCGTTCAAATGACACGGAGATACTTCAAAACGCGGCATACCGTCACTGTGAGTGAGGGATATAGTTGCTATGGAGAATGAAATATGTCGTATCTGAGAGGTTCCAGTTATGTTCAGGCGGCACGAGTTGATGGAGCTGCCAAAGCTTGTCATAGTCCACGTTTCTAGTCCACGTTTCTAGTCCTCGTTTCTTGGCTGCCATGAAATACGGGTTTAGGAATATTTGTGGCCGCCAAGAGCAGGATTAAGTTATATAATAACTTTAAGAGCATGATTAAGTTATATAATAACTTTAAGTAACTAAATTCTCAGATTTTATTAAAATCACCCTTACAGTAATACGACTTTTCGCTGAATAGATTTGTAATACTTCCAAACTTTATTATCTAATAATGCTTACACTGTTATAACTGTCCACGTAGATAGAATATGACGCGGAGCTGATCTCAATGAATATGATATTAAACACTGTAAGACACTAGTTACATAAACACACATAATATTTATTGTATTGATGTGGAACTCTTTACATTGCCAGGAGCCCCACCCTCATTTAATTAAGGTATAACGGACCTCATTGCAGTCTGCTGTTCCGCACTATCATTATTACTCTACCTTTGATCAGCTAGTAATGGGAGCCGGTATTTCTAACTGTACTATGGTTCTTGTTTAGAACATGCCCGCCATGGGATGGGTTGAGTTTATAAATTGCCAGTAACTATGTAAGTATCCTAAATATCCAAGTTCTACGTCTTAACCGAACAACAATATATAAGTCGGTAGAAAAGTAGGTTATTTTGGTTTCAATAACATCATACATATTGTTTTATAAAACCACAATTAAGTAACAAGCAATGAGTTGGCTAATATCTTTGAGTATTTTAACTAAGACGGTTAATGATGTAACACTAATACTAAGTGCTTAACAGTTAGTTTTAGATTTATGAGTGTTTCATCTCTCTCTTCTCTCTCTGTCTCTCTCTCACCAGCCACACCCAGCTGATGTGGCTCCCTAACAGCCCCATGTGTTCAATGTTCATGTATCATGGATTGTATGTATGAGTAAAAGAAGCGGCTTCGTAGTTAGGTGGATTAGAAGGGAGAGGTCATTAGTTGGTAGAGAGATGGAAATGGCACGCAGCTACCTACTCTCTCTCTACCTGCTCAGCTACCTACACAACCTCCTCAACATGATAAGTATCTCGTCTATCTACCGGCTTTCTTCTTACTGTCTGAAACTAAGCAGGTTCAGTATTCAGGGTTCCCTCTTGTAATCATCATCTCATTATGGCTGTAGTGAGGCCGAGTAGCGAGGCGAGGCCGAGTGGTAAGGCTGTAGTGAGGCGAGGCCAAGTAGCGAGGCGAGGCCGAGTGGTAAGGCTGTAGTGAGGCGAGGCCGAGTGGTAAGGCTGTAGTGAGGCGAGGCCGAGTGGTCACGTGGTACTCTTTTTGATAAATTTATTATGTCTCCCGCAACAAGTACCTGTGTTAAAGTATTGAGATACTCGTCAACACACAGTATACATTAGAACATGAAATATAGCGTTATAATATACCGACAATAATTATCTGTGCAGTGTACACGTGTGCTACACTATTACACAGGGCAACACATGTCATTATTAATGGTTGATAATACACCCATCACTTATAATAATTCCATATTATACACATGCATAATTAATACACTATAATGAGTTATTACTAATAAGCGTCTCCATTGTTTCACGCCTTACCTGCTCTCTCTCTCTCTCTCTCTCTGTACCCTAATATGCATTTATGCTAATGAATATTGAGGCTAATGAGTGACACAATATCTTACACTGGCCGGAAATGCGGTGAGTGGGTCGTGTTGAGCTGTAACAGTTCCAACTAGGTTGGCGGGTACTCCTAGCCAGCGTTCCTGGCTTCAGCAAGCCACAACTCCTGGCTTGCTGTCTGAGGCGGTTCGGATACATTTAAACTTTAATTACAGAGATTTGGCTCTTGTCTGGGATTTAATTGATGTTTTAATCAGTGAGCCATTAGTTCAGGTTTGGGTTGGCGTCACCAGGTCGAATAGATTTGTAGGTTTGTCATTCGGGAGATTCAGATTAAATGTCTTACAAAAAGCATTCAAGGATACTTCTTCGCTTACTGCAAAATATTATGTTACATAGCATTAATATTATAATATTTATGTATTGTACCCGTAAGAACGTCCAATAGTGCAGTGATAAACCATATCATAATTTGGAGATAAGTTAGTGCTGAAACGATAAGAACAATTAATTAATTAATTAATTGTTGAATTAAGTCGGGAAACGCATATCCTCCTAAAATACTAGATCTAGTATAGGTGTTGATGATGCTATATCTTAGTACGGAAGTGTCAGACCGGATAAGAACAGAGAGGTTTTCTCCTTCTAGAACAATGTACTGTACAAATTATTTTGAACTGATGATCTATCACTAGAATAATGTCTCAAATTATTCAACAACGAAAAAAACGTACCGATAAGATCATGGTAGATCTTTTATCGTTGACAAAAGAAACAGACAGATCAATTATAGATGGATGCATAATTTGTCTAACACCACCATATTACACTAACGTTATGTTTAATGATGTGTACAGTATTAATATAGACAGTATAATGTATGATTGTATAATATTGACTATTATATTGAATATATAAATGTATTTCTATTAATTTCAGAGCGTTTTCAACACATTGTCATTACATAGAGGTGCTCAACCTGAACGGATGCACCAATATCTCCCCAAGGTAGGGTTTACTTATTTATCGTAACAAATACCCCTCCGCAAGCAATGCAGTTAAAGTTTACTAAGGAGGTGCCCCTCCATAAAAGCAATGCAGTTACAGTTTACTAAGGAGGTACCCCTCCATAAAAGTAATGCAGTTAAAGTTTACTAAGGAGGTGCCCCTCCCCAATGCAATGCAGTGCAGTTAAAGTTTACTAAAGAGGTGTCCCTCCCCAATGCAATGCAGCGCAGTTAAAGTTTACTAAGGAGGTGCCCCTCCCCAATGCAATGCAGTGCAGTTAAAGTTTACTAAGGAGGTGCCCCTCCCCAATGCAATGCAGTGCAGTTAAAGTTTACTAAGGAGGTGTCCCTCCCCAATGCAATGCAGTGCAGTTAAAGTTTACTAAGGAGGTGCCCCTCCCCAATACAATGCAGTGCAGTTAAAGTTTACTAAGGAGGTGCCCCTCCCCAATGCAATGCAGTGCAGTTAAAGTTTACTAAGGAGGTGTCCCTCCCCAATGCAATGCGGTGCAGTTAAAGTTTACTAAGGAGGTGCCCCTCCCCAATGCAATGCAGTGCAGTTAAAGTTTACTAAGGAGGTGCCCCTCCTTAATGCAATGCAGTGCAGTTAAAGTTTACTAAGGAGGTGTCCCTCCCCAATGCAATGCGGTGCAGTTAAAGTTTACTAAGGAGGTGCCCCTCCCCAATACAATGCAGTGCAGTTAAAGTTTACTAAGGAGGTGCCCCTGCCCAATACAATGCAGTGCAGTTAAAGTTTACTAAGGAAGTGCCCCTCCCCAATGCAATGCAGTGCAGTTAAAGTTTACTAAGGAGGTGCACCTCCCCAATGCAATGCAGTGCAGTTAAAGTTTACTAAGGAGGTGCACCTCCCCAATGCAATGCAGTGCAGTTAAAGTTTACTAAGGAGGTGCCCCTCCCTAGTTCGTTGCAGTAAGGGTTGAAGTGCCAGCTATTAAACTCGACAAACTTGCACCTCAGTTAGCACAGTTGAGGTGTTAATAAGTCAACTATTTTTCCTTAGCAGTGAACTCTTTAAAAGTCATGGAACTATCAGACGAGTCATTACAAATTTTAGATTCAAATTTTTATTTTGGTGCACATTGCAGGATTTGGGGCTCAGATTCCAAATTTAGAAAACATTAAAACACATCCTGATTGTTACGGTTGTTACCCTTGGTACTCACTTTTAAATTTCCTTTTAAGCTGAAAGCTGCGAGACACATTTCGAAGTGTTAAAATTACAGGGGTTAATTCTCCTGGCTGTGCTCAGATGAATGTGCAACATATTTATCATCAGGAATAACCAACCTTGTCATGTACTAAATTTGCGGGCCTGTAAATTTTGTCTCACCAATATGAAAGCTGCTGTAACAAATTTCTCAACTCTGTTTGAATCTCGTTTGCTCATCATCTCTGCAGATTAGTCGCATCCTAATTTGCAGAATAGCTGCATCTCATCAGTCAAATTATCACCTTTTTGTACTGTGTACTAGTGTTATCAGACGATGTGCCGCACTTCAAATACCTCATTAAATTGGGCTGAATAAAAGTTGGGCGCTGTCCAAGCAGTCCGAGAAACTAAGGTATAATCGAGTACTGCCCAGCTCTACATAGCACTGACATGCTGGTCAATATGAGCTCTGTCATGACTGACGTTATGTCTCAATTTCTCTACATGTCCCATTCTAGCTCCTATTTATTCTTGATAGAAGTAGCTGCACTTCAAATTCTCCACTTTCCTTACGTGTTATTAAGAAATTTCTGCAATTTATCTCGGTGCACGAGACAATGATTATGTATATTAAAATTGTCGTTTCAACCCACTCTATTTTCAGATGTGACCGCGCCTTTACCTCACATTTTACAAACCTGAAGTGGTTGGATCTATCTTCCTGTATTTTAGTGGACGACTCAGTCTGCAATGCCCTCAGGTAAACATTGAACTGAAATGTCACGTGACTCCAGCTATTGTTACAGATAATAGGGGCAGTAAAGTAGTTTAACCGTAATAATGGCTGCTACTTTAATACTGGTTTTGGGGGAAATGCGGGATCTTTCTGTCTCAGGTAGATGTATCTGTCTCAGGTAGATATATCTGTCTCAGGTAGATATATCTGTCTCAGGAAGAGCCATGGCGACTGACATTCTAGCCCTTAGTTATCAGACTTGGTGAGATTATTCTAACCGTGTTCAAATGTGTCAACAACATAGCTCCAGACTACCTTAGTTCCCAAAAATTTGTGTGCCATTATATTGAGCACAATTTATTTGAGCCCGAAAAATTTGGGCAGAAAATTTGAACTCATTTGGGCGACCGAAAATTTGGGCACAAATTCTTCGAAAAATGAACGATTTTCCACTAAAATTTCAGTTAGATATTTGCCTTAGTTCATTATTATTCCTTACTATTCCAGTCATTTTGCTTTAAATTTTAAGCATGTAGGTGGTAGTCTGAGTTGTTTCACATTATGAAATTTACGATCTGCCCAGTAACTACTAAAAAATACAGTGATGATGGCACAGTACAAAATGATAGATATACAATAGTGATATTTAGTCTCTCAATCAGATAGTTTAGTCTACTTACACTCAGCATATCTTATCATACCCCTTTCACATACAATTATCATTATGACGCCTCACCAGATGGTCGAAAGGTTTGTAAGAAAATTAGAAGGTTTACATCATGATCTATCAAACTAAGCGGCACATACGCTTAGCTTTGGGGGAAACAAAGGTGTACATAATTGTGTGTAGCGAACTACTGTAAACCCGGACCAAAGGTCAAGTCTAATTTTATTAACCAGACATTCATTTAAAATATAAGCCTTTTTACTTGGTCAAGCCATGAATGACAGATTAGAAAACTAAAATTTGAAATATTATTTCACTTGGATTATATGAAGAAAAAGCCATCTTTCTATAGATTTCAGGGCCACAGGCCAAATGCCAAAAGTTTGGTTAGCAAAAAATTTAGCAGACGGAAAAGATTTATGCAATTAATTTGGTCTGCAAAAAATTTGGGCGAGAGGCCCGCTCAAATTTTTTGTCGCCCAAATTTTTGGGAATTAAGGTATATCACTAAATGCATGGACATTAGGAGTCAATCTGTATGAGCACTATGAACAGTTCACAAGATTAGTTCCTCCTCAATGTTCCTCATCTTTCAAATTATTGTAAGACTGAACAAAGGTTTAGTCACTGTGGACCCTCTCTTAATTATTATTATTATTCATGACTGTCTAGAGACATTATCTTAACCTTTTATCTTAGATATTGTTGTCTGATTCAAGGAATGTGAGACATGCCATTATGTCTGGTAGCGGAATTACAAATGTCCACTTTCTTCTCTGTATCGTGTTCAAATGTCGGGTTGTAGTGTTCAGTAGGGAGCATCGTGGCTCTTGACAGACAAAGTGAAACATTTACTGAAACAAGGCAAATGACTAGTGAAAACTAAATGAAGTAATCGACTTTTCGGTACTCATTGGCCTTTTACTAAGATTACAATGAGTGCCGAAACGTCGATTATTTCATTAAGTTTTCACCAGTCATTTGCCTTTGTCTGTAGAGAACCGTGATGCTCCCTGCCGCACACTACGATGTTAAAAACTCACACTTACAAGATCTAAAAGAATAGCCATAACCCGAAATTACCCGAAAGAGTGCCTAAAGTAAGAGATAGTGTATTTAAAGTGCCTAAAGTAAGAGATACTGAGAAAGTGTATTTCAGCGCGGGATGCCCACAACTCCAACACCTAGACCTGAGCTGGTGTGCCCTAGTCAGTAACAACGGTGCTGTGGCTCTAGCTAAAGGGTGTCTCAACCTCCAGCACCTTCTTCTGCGATACTGTAAACTGGTGAGACTTACGCAATTTCTGTAAACATTTTACGACTTTTAAAAACGTTAGATTATGTAATATGTATCGGTGATAAGTTTGTAGAACTTCAGTAAATCTGTGTAACTCTGGTTAATTGAAGTTAATTTCGCGAAACTATGAGACTAACATGACTTTAAAAAGTTGTTATTAACTTTGGTAACTTTCCAGAAGAATACACAATCAGTAAGTTTCAGTTTCAGTTCCAGATTTCAGCAATTAACCGTTCTCACGTTAATTACCCAAAAAAGACCTCACCTCTTCTTTTTTGCACTTGCCATTAACTTCAGCCCATGCGATTAGCCCTGATAAACTAGAAGAAGTATTAATTACCCCCTCCCCTGGAATGCTGGTTTAAGGTTTCACACTCTGTGATCTTAGTGAAGAGTTTGTTAAACTCCGTAACTTATAATATTATTATAACCTGACATAGTGTTACTCACATGCTTGTTGCGTCTCTCTTATTCACTCTCTGTCGCGTGATTACTGGAGATTGTGTGGACACTCCGTTACACATCACACTTCACAATATTCAGCTACATTACTCCTTCATAATATAGATTGAGCTACATTACTCTGATTAACAGTTCATTTACCATCCTTGTCTCGTCATATTCTGTACTTGGATTATCGCTATAATATCTGGTAATGTGATCGGCAACATAGATTTAATGCTGTTGATATCAGTTGACATCAGGCATCAGCTACCTGCTCTAAAAGATGTTGCATTAATTCTGGCCCACCCCACACAAATTTAATCTCACATTTGATGGTGTGTGTAAGACTGTAACGTGTGTTATTTTCAGATTGGTGATGCAGGAGTTAAAGCCCTCACACAGTGCAAGAAACTGTCCCTGCTTAGTCTAATGAACTGTGAGGTCAGTGGTTTATAACTCATATCTATACAGCTACTAAACTGAGATAACTGTATGTTATTTTATTTTATGCTATTATTTTATTTTATGCTATTATTTTATTTTGGCTTTAAATCTGTTCGTACATGGTCGGTAAACGCTTCTTTTCGTCAATATTACATGTTTGATTTTACTCAGTAAGAAGGTACAGACTACGGCTGATTAGCTGATAATATGTCACATCTTTCTTGTTGTCGAATAAGAACATAATATTAATAAGTCCGAGCATTCATTTCTTCCTTTTGGTTTTGCTAATTTTATTGTGTACGTACGGGAACAGATTAAAACTGTTACTACTTGGTGATTGAGAAGGATCGGGGTTAAAAATGAACAATGAGGCATTACACAATAAACTAACCGCATTGATATATTACCGAGTATCTAGCAACTCATCAAGATCTCTATTTTATTAGGTTGCATTATTACAACATAACCTAATTGTACTGTTGAGTACAAAGTAGTCGGGATATCATCCACATAACAAAGTAGTCTACTGAAATTATGCAAATTATGCAAATATGCTTGGCATAGGTATTGTTTAAGCTCTCCAGAGGAACCAAGTATCGTGACTGAACCACGTGTGGTGTCGCATTTAACGTTACATATTATAAACAGGTTAACTTGGGCATAAGTTACTTTTTTAAGGGCGTATGTACTGTAATTGCTTTCTTTTCGTACGATCTCATCTTCTAGAATTTCAGACTAAAGTCTTATAAGTACTAAAGTTACAGTTACTTGAAGTACTTTCTGACAATAACTCAGAGCGTCTTATAATCCACTTTATTTCATTGCAACATATTGTCGCAATGCGGGGAAGTTTCAAGCTTTCTTGGACTTTATTGGCATTCTCCTTTGACAGTACAAATTCAAGTACCAATATGCGTATTACACTTCCCCGGGTGTCGCAACAGATTTTCCCACATATCCGACGTAATTCATGAGCTCAATCAACCCTGTCTCACTTCTTACTGTCACATTCTAAATTCTATGAAGAAAATATTTCCACTGTGTTTCACAAAAGCAGGCCAACAAAATCAGCTCATTTGTTTTTGGGGTCAAGCTGATCACATAACAAAACATTGCCTTGTGTTTTGTTAATACCAAGACAATGAGCTCACTCCCATGGGATTAGTCGGTTATTTCATAAATTAGTTCATGATACAAAACCACAGAATATTTCCTTGTGTTCGACAATGACCTCACATATCTGTCAGGAAGTTACAGACTCCGGAATAGTTGCCCTGACAAAAGGATGTAAGGAGTTACGATGTCTATCTGTCAGCGGCTGTACTCAATTAACAGACTTAACCTTAACGGAAATAGGAAACAACTGTCCCAGTTTACGGTAAGAAATAACGCGTGTCTGGTCACGTGATGACGTGACAAATAAAGAATGTCACGTGACGTGCACTTGTCTGTCAGTTTTATGTTGTGTGCTAAGTTTGTCGCAAGACAGGTTGACGTATTTTTTGTGAGCGTATGTGATCGTTAATTTGGTTAAACTTGACGATTGCAATAACTGGTGTTATAATATGATCATGTTTTTGTGATCGTTTAACCACGCGATTCATTTCAAGTTCTTAAATACTTCAAATTAAGCTTCAGGTAAGTTATAGAAATTGAGTCTCGGCAACAAGTGTTTTGATAAAAAATGTGACGATTATTTATATTTTCAGGACGCTGGAACTTGCTAAACTAATTTATTTATCAGACAGAGGATTTAAAAACTTAGTAAAGGTAATTATGAATGTGGGAAGTTTAAATTTGTTACTGTAAATTATATAAATTAATGTCCTGTACACCTTTTTCATGATAATAAGGCCGTTATTTGGGTAATATTTGATATGCTGTATACGGGCATGTCATTACTGAAATCATTACAACCGTTAAATAGCGAGATATTACTAAGATTCACTGTGAACGGTAGGATATTAAAATCTATCTATAGCCGACAGATTATAAACGAAGGAATTTAAACCGATACTCATTTAAAAAATGTCTTCCTTCAACCATTTAACCACTGGTTTTGACAGACAAAAATCCGATCTATTACTCTATTAAATGATTCAAAGAACCTACTTACCACAAAATAAATATAAACGATTATAACTTTATAACGTAGGTATTACACATACAATTTAGTACGACTTTCCATAAAATATTTTAAACGTGCTATCTAAGTTGTCTGCTTGATAAGACTCCGTACACATTATCTAAAATGCTGCGTTAGTGTAACACAGCTGTAGAGTGTAGATCTAGCCACATGGAGCAAGCGTGTCGTGTGAAGTCCATCTCTATCAGCTGACCAGATTCTTGAAGATTTCATGTAAATTCATACAGTCACAATAGAGAAGATTTCATTAAGTTAGATATTGCTAACTTTCTCTCATCTATTCTAGATGCTTAGATGTAGAGGTAGCAGTTTGAGTAGATGTAATGTAGATGTAAAATAGATTGTATAAGTAGAGGTGATAAGTGTACCGTGTCTACACTGTACAATAAGAATGCATTTACGTAGTACTATTGTGACGTTAATGACCATCGCACCTCATTGAGCTGTGACTAAATCCTGCACGTGACTATATCACCCACATTACCACACCTGCACGTGACTATATCACCCACAGTACCACACCTGCACATGACTATATCACCCACAGTACCACACCTGCACGTGACTATATCACCACAGTACCACACCTGAACATGACTATATCACCCACAGTACCACACCTGTACGTGACTATAATATCATCCACAGTACCACACCTGCACGTGACTATATCACCCACAGTAACACACCTGTACGTGACTATATCACCCACAGTACCACACCTGCACGCGACTATATCACCCACGTCCCACAGTACCACACCTGCACATGACTATATCACCCACAGTAACACACCTGTACGTGACTATATCACCCACAGTACCACACCTGCACGCGACTATATCACCCACAGTAACACACCTGTACGTGACTATATCACCACAGTAACACACCTGTACGTGACTATATCACCCACGTCCCACAGTACCACACCTGTACGTGAATATATCACCCACAGTACCACACCTGCACGTGACTATATCACCCACAGTACCACACCTGCACAAATTCACGCACAGAAAAGCTGCTCGTACAACACTACAAATCTGTTACATTAATAGAGGAGGTTACAGAAGAAATTGATTTTACTCGTGGTGTTTCTCTTGTTTCACATGTAAGAAGTAAGAACAGTGCTATCAGGTTGTCTGCCGCCTCCCCTTTCTTCAAAACTCACACTCCTCTTTATACTCACTTTCATTCGAGACAAATGTGTAGTAGGAACACGTGTGTAGAAACACGTACAGTAATTCACATCACCTACAAAATTAGAACCTCGTAATTTGAACATTCAATACTCCTCCCTGCAATCTGTCTCTCTACTTTGACATCACATCTGCAAATAGAACGGAACGGTCTGAAGAGCCAACTTAACTGTTTCCTTGGAAACACCTACCTGTTTACTGTTTCCATGGAAACACCTCGTCAACCTCAAAACATTACGTTTTGTTAGAACAAATCTGCTTTACAAAAGTGTTCCCAAGACCAAAAAACAAAGTTACCCACGTTACACATGTTACCACATAATATGTCACCACTGACCACACATGTGTCCACACATGTGACCACACATGTGACCTGTGACCACTGACCAGTGACCACACATGTGACCACACATGTGACCACACATGTCAACCAACATTAAAAACTAAAAGTATTTATAGATAACGTTATGTTAGAAGGCGAAGCTGGTCAGCAACATGCGGCACAAACCTGTGCACTTATAACTTTAATAACATATAATAACATAGTGTAATGTTACCTGATCGTAACTCAACCTCCTCATAAATATGTCAGTGATTCTGTTATGTGCGTTATAATGTTACAAGATGATGAATAATTTACGTTAATAAAATACTGTGTGTGTGTGTGTGTGTGTGTGTGATAGCACATCACATTATCCGTATTACATGTACACAAGTGTTGGTTACTGTGTGTAGTGAGGTGCCAGTAATTTAGTGCTGGACACAACAACAACAGATATTTCTGGCTCTGTGCCAAGGACAGCCCAGTTAAGGAAACCTGCTAAAGTTTTTAAAAGTTCAAGGAAACCCGATATTATGTCAGACGTCATAATGTAACCTCCTGTATTTCCTACAAAGTCAGACTGGAATGAGTTATCATATTATATTATGTGTCCATAATTTTACTGTAATAAGATAAATTATAACTGGTAGTAGTTTGAGAAGCTTAACCTTTTATGATCTATTAGTTCCGAGGTACTTCCACTAAGATAATGTCTGGAGACATTAAATAACTTATATCGGTTGACGGTTCCTTGCATGGTCTCTTTACTCTCTACTTGGGAGAGTCACCAGTACATTGTAGTCTCTTGGTTGAAGCTATCACGAGGCCTTTAACACAAATCAGAATAACAGATTTAAAGGCAATCCATTTACTTCTAATTGCTTTCATGGTAGTTCGCTTAATTCGTGACGTCAAATATTTAGCGTTTGAAGTCGGTTGAAGTGAAAATAAGTTAACCCTCATTACCCAAAATACTGCACCTTCAAATTCCAATTATATGGGTCAAAGAGCACGCTTTATTTCCTACAGCTCGGACAAATTACTGTAATTATCTGTGGACTGTGTCATGTCTGAGTTGATAACTATTTAATTGTCAGTGTCAATTACCCTCTTTTATCCCGCAGGGGTGCAACAGTCTCGAGAAGATGGACCTTGAAGAGTGCCAATCGGTGAGTGTGTGTACCCATATCCAAAAACCCGCATTCTCGCATTCTAAGAATGTAGGAAATTTTTAAAAGTAGGAAATTTTTGACAAAAAGTAGGAAATTCGAGAGCCAACTCTGAGAATTTTCGATAATATTTCAGTAGGAATTTAAATGAAAGAGCAGACTAAAAGTTGCTGGACCGTTATAACCACTCTTTTCTAAAAACCACCCATGGGGGGATGGGGGCGGCTATAGAAAACTTCTGCAAATCCCAATATAGACTACCATTCCAGTTTTGATAATAGCATTATCAATCATGTAATGTTGTGAACGGTCATCAATGCAATTGTAATAACTTTATGTCAGGAGTTCAAAGAACATTATATAGTATTATGAGTTGATGTAATACGTCTAAACATGCATAATGCATAAGCATTCTTTGTTGCGTTTCCTATCTTATTCAAATAGTAAATACTAATAATCATTATTATATTTTTGGAAATTTTAAATTCCTTGTTTCTTGAATATTTGGTCTCATACTTGCTTCCTTCTCCAAATTCCCTTAACCCTGTATTAGTTTATAGCTTGAAAGCAGAATGTGATGGTAGTAGATGAGAAAACATTTTTGCCAAAATTATAAACTCTTGATACTTCATGCTGTCTCCTATTTTGTGCTTTAGTTAAGCCAAGTGTTTAGGGATTCTAGAATCCAGACAATTTATCCCAATAAAACTCATTACCCAAAATACTGCACCTTCAAATTCCAATTATATGGGTCAAAGAGCACGCTTTATTTCCTACAGCTCGGACAAATTACTGTAATTATCTGTGGAAGTGTGGACTGTGTCATGTCTGAGTTGATAACTATTTAATTGTCAGTGTCAATTACCCTCTTTTATCCCGCAGGGGTGCAACAGTCTCGAGAAGATGGACCTTGAAGAGTGCCAATCGGTGAGTGTGTGTAGTCTCTTTTAGTGGGCATGTTGGGGCAGGTTACTCGTATCAAATGTCATGTGTCAGGTGTGATGTAATTTATCCCTCAACAGCCAAGGTGCTCTGGCTGGGAAAGTATTGAGAAATGGGGTAAAATAGTGTATTATATAAGTATATATATAATGATCAGGAGAAATGGAGCTCTAAAATAATGATTATCCCATACTTTGATATCTATCACCCTGCATTAAGGAGATGGGGATATATTCTCTGAATCAACCCTCCGATCTTGTAAAATTTAATTAGTGATTGTATAGGTTTCACTGAGCGGGAGGGGGAATAATGGCTACTAGTGTTAATATAAATGACAATTTAGTTATATTATAATATATTAAATAATATTACAGTTATTGTAGTTATTTATCCTCCGGAGCACATGATACTTACAACTGTCATAATAAGACACACCCCTATGAGCTATAGTGCATATTTTACGATACCCTACAACTTTGCAATGGTCCCTAACATAGTACAACAGCGCTTCTATCAATATACAGTATACACCAACGTGCATTTCAACCACGCCATATTTAGATACACGTGAACCATTAAAAATATGGCATTCCAATGAACTTCCTTACAATTAAATACGCGTTACTACGTGGGAGGCGGTACTTTTGAAAATGAAATGGGATCTTACTTGCTTGCTCCCATTTTCCAATGAGTTACATGTCGGGGGTTGTACAGAATCATTACCGCGGCAAATGCAACACTAAACAGTTATATGTTGTATACTATACTAGTTCTTCTTCTGATTGGTCGGCGTACACTGTAAGCCTTCCTTACGGTGGCTTTCACAACGCGTCCTTATTTCCCCAACTCCTGCTGCTGGAGAGAGAGATTATATACTCCCAAATTATATACCATAAATATATTACACATAGATACGTGGGGCTACTATACTAGTTACTATATACTATTCATAACGGTGTACCTGTCAAGTAAGACTCGTTAACTAATGTGTTTCAGATAACAGATAATTCCCTAATACAGATATCTCTACACTGCCCTTATCTTCAATCTTTGGTAAGTATTTTGTATATCTATTCTATTTAAAAAAACTTTAAATTACCGTTTTTACGTATCTGTCAAGCGTATTATTTGCCAAACCGTTCTCATTCTTTTCTGTGTTTACACTTTACATTGTCTCCTTCAGTTGTCTCCTTCAGTTGTCTCCTTCAGTTGTCTCCTTCATTTGTCTCCTTCAGTTGTCTCCTTCAGTTGTCTCCTTCAGTTGTCTCCTTTACTTATATTGTAATACTATCAACACTTATTATAGTTAATACATATAAAAAATGATATGTGGTAGGTTTACATTAATTTAGAACTACATTTGTATTAACTTAACCTAAACTTCTTAATCCACACATTACTCAATCGATTGAATAAACTTTGGATGGGCTATTTTGGTGATAGTGAGTGATCTCCAGGGTTAAATTTACAGATTAACAACTTTGCAGCTATTCCAAACCGATCAAGTGGTCATGTTTGTCCGTTACGTTCTTCCGGTCATTTTCTAACGGTTTGCTCACACCCTGATTCCAAACAGGAAGGATTAAAACGCAAGTTAAGGCCAGAGGGGGGGGGGGGGGTAAAAATTGTTTTTACAGTTTTCACATATTTGATCAGAGCTGCTGGAGATGAACAAGTAGAAAAAAACTGCATGAAAATCTGACCTTGCGTTGCTGAGATATTGCGTGCCAAAATTTGAGGTTTACCTTGAAATATGAGGTTAACTTTAATTTGAGGTTAAGTTAACCTCATATTTCAAGAACAGAGGCAAATATCAAAATTCAGGTCCTGAGTGTGGCCAGTCTTTTCCAAAAGTTGAGCTCTATCTGGAAAAAAGATATTAAGAGTCAAAGACAAAGTTTTAATTACAAGTAAACCTCAAATTTTGGCGCGCAATATCTCAGCAACGCAAGGTCAGATTTTTATGCGTTTTTTTTTCTACTTGTTCATCTCCAGCAGCTCGATCACATATGTGAAAACTGGAAAATGATAATTTACCCCCCCCCCCCCCCCTCTGTCCTTAATCAAAGAGCGAGTCTTTGAATTCCGATGTGTCATCGGTTATCTAGACTTAAATAAAATGTCATTTAAAAAAGCTAGGCAGGTTAAACTCCTGTCTGGTCCTTGGCATGTTAAAACATTCCGTTACTTAACCTGTGTGCGTTTTAAATCGGATGTTCTAAAATAGGAATTATGACGTGGGCGTGGCTGTTCGAAGGAGAGAGATCTCAAAGTAAGTGCCGAAAAACAAAAAGAAAGATATAATAGCACTCATCACAGTTTAAATGATAAAGGTGAACTAGATAATACAGTTTTGAGTTACATTGTGCTGGAACACATTTCTGTTCTGAAGCCAATTTTCTCTCTTTGATGGACACATTGAGTTTAGATCTTTGAAGATTTAGTTAGAGCTGCTTATTGAAGTAAGTGATGACAAATGATGATTGGTGAGTGCCGTTCAGTTAGAGCCAACGGATTGAGTATGTGGTATCCAGCAACTAAAAACATTGGAATGCTACTTCTCGCAATATCATGAGGCCTAGGTGTTCAGGTATTGTCTTTATAGCCATGTTTCAGCATACTTTTGGCACAGGAATTCATCTAAATGCCAACATTTATCCACACGTACAGCTTTTTTCGGGGCTTTGCTAAGTATTACAGAAAGATGTCCGCAGATAATGCAGTGCTGTCTGTATTGATGATCATGTTTTTAGGTTCATTGTTTCTTCCTGTCTCATTCTATCGCTATGGTCACCCCCCCCCCCTGAACGTAGTGTTTCTTATAGGTCGTGTTGTGCAGACAATTGTATCTGGTTTTTCCTCCTACATAACATGTAGTATATAATATCATGTACTAGTTCAAAATTCAGAGAAAAGAAAATGTCCGGGCCGACTTATAGTAACACGGAAATTATGAGAAATGTTGAAGTTTAAACATCACAACAATGCGACTCATAATGATGTTCCTATCCGGATATTACACTAAATCCATCGACAAGTTACATTATCTAGATCTGACGGCATTATTTGATCACTACGGTGGCATTATATCTGCATTTTATCGCACATGTATTGTGGCAGGAGTTAAATTTAATTTAGTGTCGAGATAGTCCCTGTAATATTGATGCAATAAAGTTAAATGTCATCCGTTGTAGATTCGAATGCTAGCTCGACGCTATCTTTTGTTAAGTTATATAAATATAATATCGGTGTAATAAAATATAAAATTTGGTAAGTTATATAATATCACTGTAATAAAACATAACCTTCATGTTGTGTTATAGTACACCACTGTTAGTACTGCTCAGTACGTGTGTAATCATCCATGTATGGCAAGACTTTATTTTAATCTCAGAAGTGAGCAAGCAGATAGTTCTCTGTGTATGTGACACGTGTTTAGCACGTGTGAGCCACGTGTTTAACACGTGTTTAGCACGTGACACGTGGTACGTGTTAGCTGTTACTGGGCTACATGAGGATTTTATTTTGAAGGGTGTGGTCATATGTCCTCTGGTTATTTGTTTGATTGTATCACGGACAAACTTTAAGTTGATGATTCAGGGTGTAGACTTTCTTAGCAGCCTGATGAGTTGGTGCGTGTGCGAGGTAATGTTGTTTCGTAATAATATCACGATTAAACTTACGATATCGACTAAGTCCCTGCCTCTACCATGTTGCCAAATACCACTAAATGTTATTACCACTGTGATTAATGATTAAATAAATTACCTTTATTTACACTACAATAAATAATGAAAAGCTCGCCTGCAGACGTTAAGTAACTGTGAACGGATCAGTGACGAGGGACTGCGGTATCTGTGCGGCAGTTACGCGGGACAGACACAACTACGGGAACTGGAACTGGACAACTGTAAGCTGATAACGGACGCTACCATCGACCATCTTGTGTGAGTACATTCCTCTTCAACTGTGTGTTAGTCATTGTGCAGTTTCTAATACTTCACAGTTCACAGTTCTGTCAGTTACTGTGTAGTTTCTAATACTTCACAGCTCCCGTTTAAATACCTTGCACTAGATCTGACATGATAGTAGATAGTTAACGTGTCACAACTGTTCAAGTTAATCATTGAACATGTCTCTCACAGTTCTCATGTCTGTTCTCTTGCCTCTCTTTATTAAATCAAACTCCCGAATATCATGCATAATATCTCCGCTATCTCAATATGACATGAATCTGTAAGATACACCTGTTCAATACTACATTTTACTCTATTAAAACAAGTTTACTCTATCATATGCAACACAGAGTACACTGTACCGTATTACTATCAGAAGCATAATTCATTTTGGCACAAGGTGGCCGGGATATGAGCTGTTTAGAACTAATCTAAGATTGTTCTTGTGTTTTGATCACGTGTGTAAAGTCAACTTGTATTATCACAGTGTGTGTACTGTGTGTGTGTACTGTGTGTGTAGTACATTCGGGGGATTAATAAGGTTATTGATGTCTCGAAGTATACATTTGATGAAATACTCTTGAGGCTAACTATAAATGTAATCTAACTGACCTTGATATATTTAATGGAACAGCTAACTAAATCTCTACGAATGTAATCCTCTGTTCGCGGTACCATGTGTATTATAATACTATAATACCTCCGCCACTGAGTGCTGCGCGATATAATTCCCGACAGCTTGCTGGAGGGAATTTGCGGGCACGAAGTTGCGGAGGTATTATATTTTATAATACGTTCCGGTTCCGATTGCAGAAGGGGTGTAATCCGATACGTGCGCATCATACAATATAGTGTCTAATATATAGAACGCCAGTGTTATTTGTTTTGAAACTTGCCGCCAGCCAGTCTGAGTCTGGGCTGATAATACCCTCGCTTCTCTTGCGGGAAAAATGAGCAAATTATCAGCCCTCGGTGTCCCCGAGTTTTAGTGGATATAATTCCCGGAAGGTATTATAATCGAAAAGTTAGAGTGGGTTAATTTCGTGCAAATAAACTGGGTTTATTGAACGAAGCCGTCCAATTTCACCTAGATTAACACTAATTATTGGGACCAAGTCCCTTCATTTGGCCCGACTGCAGGATCCAGCAGCATCTTTGAGATATTGACCTTTATTAACATGTCCAGTCTAGCCACTGCTCACTTTAAAGCTATATAGTATTCAGCTTAGTAGTGCAGATTGTTTGTCACTACATATTATTTGTGTAGAGCTCCCTTCTTCCCCCCCCCCCCCCCACCTGTTGTAGTTTATTGTTATTACTGGCCCTCAATATTACCCCTCTTGTCTGATCAACATTACAGTGTACAGTGTGCAGTGTGCAGTTTGTGCTAGTTTTTAAGTTATGTCGGTATGGTCTATTAAAGGATAATTTACTCTTACCCAAGTTAATTGAACGGGTTCACAGTTCTGATAAAATAAATAATATCAGATATTCGTAAAGAGGCTGTAACAAGGCTGTATTTCTTCTCTAACTAAGAGAATCAACGAATCTTAATACATAACCAAGGAATCTCCGAAGGATCTTTAAAATTGGACTTTCTTCATGGATTTCTAAAAGCCCTCAAGTTAAGAACATTCCTCACATCTCATTAACACCCCCCTCAGGCAATGCAGAGGGCTCCAGAGGGTAGACCTGTACGACTGTCTCCGGATCTCGCGCGGCGGGATTAAGCACCTCAAGTCACGGCGTCCCAACCTCACGGTGCACGTGTACTTCCCCCCAGACACGCCGCCCGTCATGCAGCACGATCCCGTCCATAACCGGGTGTGTAGATGTTGTGTGGTCTTGTGATCTCACATCCTCACACGTGACCAACACGTGGTCTATCTGTCCTGTCACGTGATAGCAGGAGAGATATCATGACACACCCAATCCCCCCTTCCTCCCGCTTCAGTCGTCGAACTGGAAAGTTTCAAGCAGCAGACTGCAGCTACACGCGACTCTAAAAACACGGCTGCAGAATGACTAAATTAAACGAGAGATAATTGAGAGATAATTGAGTAATTATGTAATTATAGGAGGCGGGACCCTCATTAGTTTAATATGGCGTGGCTGGGTTTACTAAACGAAAAATAGACTGATTGATGCATCATCAATTTTGATATTAGTTTCGTTAAAATATTTGTTTATTACGAAAATTAGATTATTTATTATTGGAGGGGTATGCTGATCATTTAATAAAATTCTTTCGAAACCGCCGAGAAAATATTTATTTGACCGTAAATTCTGATAGGTGAGCCTTTTGCCTTTTGGTTACGGTTTCGAGATGCTAAACAAAAAAAAGAGCAAATCTGTGCAAATTTGTGGCGTGTTTTATCTGTGTGGCGCATTTGATTAAATGCTGTGCCCTGACCGCAACTCGAAAAGAAATGTAAACTGCAGGCACGCACCTGAACTAACTTGTATTTTTCACTTATTATTAATTTAACCAAATTTTATAGATTTGTGTATACTTTCTTAGTTGATTTTGAGTAACGTGTTGCGTACGGTATATAGAGTTTCATTCTCCTTGAGAAGCCATCTTCGAGATTAAAGGAACTGTTTTGCGTTAAACGTCGAAGACGATCGATCACGAGGTGAACCGAAATCATCTCACTTTATGGAACGCGCGAGCAATATTTCAAAATAAAAAGTATTAAGTCTCTATTGCCATATTATGGTCCGGTTGCGCGCATGCACGCGAGTACATACGTATGTGTTTTTAGTGTTGTTATGTATTAATCGTACATGTACTTGCAAGGTGATAATTATAAAGCTGCAAACTCAATTTCTAGACAATTAAGGTGGACTGTACTAGCCTAATACAAGCACTCATATTGGTCACAACAGTTGGCTAATCAGTAAAAAGGTGCGTAACATATCATTAATTAAATAAAATTACTTACTTAAGGTTACTTTATTAAACATAACTAAAGTACGATTCAACTAGAAATTTGTACATCATTTACAAAACGTGGTGTTAGGAGAAGGTGAATGAGAGAGAGGCAGATAAGATCAAATCTTGTGATAACGATCAGTTCATAGACTTATGTGTTCTCAATTTCATTTTCTCCAAAAATAAGGCGGACGGCACCAGCATTTAAAGCACTCACATTGGTCAGAACATGTAGAGTTCTGACATGTTCAGTAAACATGTAGGTGTGAAATACTTAACATAACATTAACATTAACTAAAGAATAGCAAATTTCACTAAATTACGACTCATAAAATATAAATTTAAATACACAGCTCATTTCGACAAGCTGTCTATCACTGGGAAATGAAAATGTTATATGATTTCAATCGACCAAATATTGGCCGGTAATACTTATCAATAAAAATTCCATCATAAACGTGTATTGTCCATTTGCATATCATCTGATGTATTTATAGTCCTTCTCGGAGTTAATTTACGTGCAGTTTTTGTAAAAATCCACTCTATAAATTGATAGCATGTGAAAAATGAGAGCCCGATAAATAGATCTGTTAATCCTCCTAATTCGGCTGAAATATTGAGTGGTTAAAAATAACAAATATGGCACCTAAAAAGATGTTAGCAGAATTGTGCTTGTTCAAAGAAATCAGCTAAATTCTAAAACCAACCTTAGGCTTAGGCCAGCAGACTACAGAGTAAGTCAATATTTATTAATCACTTGTAACTATTTGTGATGCTAAAACCATACATCTTTTCAGCCAGATAAGATTGCATTTTAATGTTGGACCTTTTCTGATTCTTGAACAGTTAAGGGTAAATGAGAAATGCTAACAATCGTGTAACTTCATGATTTTACTTACCTATAAAGCTGGCTATCTCGTAGCTAGCTGTTTGTACTACCTCTATTTTCGTCATCTGGTCCGTATAAAACACTAACTTTACCAAGTTTTTCTTAGCGTCTTCGAAATTATCGTATCTTGACTTAACCTAAAGTAAATAATAGTTTCAGACACTGTCAACATAACGTTACTTGATGAAAAGCACCAACTGCAACATTAGACGAGAAAAAAGCATTATTGCTGACATGGTTAATGAATATAGATTAAAGACGATAGTAGTAATAGTCAGCATTATACAGTCAAACGTTAACAAGGCATATCTGTGAAAGTAATGAAGTGTAAATGTTTACTGAATCCAGTTGACTGAGATAGGTTTCCCAGTATCTCTTAGCGGGATATTCACTGAACGAGAAATCGTATTCGTATTGTCTGTAGTTACAGGGTTCATGGCATGTGGGAGGAGATGTAGACTTCTCAGTAGTGCTTTCTTTATCGTCCGTGCTATTCATCAAGACATCTGTGAGGAAATAATATGGGATCCATTACAAAATGTAGTCATTCTAGTCTACAAACTTTATCTTGTATACTTTATTTAAAGGAGAATGGAAGATCCCAATTAATTTGCAATTCAGTAATTCTTTTACAAGTTTTTAGAATTCAACTTACTCGTTATTTTATTCTGACAGGAAGTCTCGGCTGAGATAGTGCATTCCTCCATTTCCAAGCACTTTACACTACCCCACTGTAAACCTTTCCAATCGACACCGTTTTCTATTTCTTCTATTGCTGCTGTTTTCTTGTACAGCCAGCATTCGTTTTCACTCATGATATCTGAAAACAAAATATTTTTTCACAATTAAAGAAACTCCTGGGTTCTATAGTCTGGTATTCTTTACCAATTCGTATAAATCGGTTGTCAGTGGGTGGAGCTTTTTTAAGCTTCTTATATTTCACGAGGCAGCAAGCCAGATGTATATGAAGTAAGTATATATGCAAGCTATGTATGAAGTATATGTATTATTTAATTCAAATTCATAACCGCTCGTCTTTGTTTTGTTTAATTCTGAAAATATCAGTGATTATACAGTGTATATACAGTTACACTGACCGTTAGTCAGACCACTGTACTGGAAATATAGACAGTCCACAGTATTGTCGCACAGATCCGCACAATCCTTTACTGACTTCAGATCTGTATTGGTGGAGATCCGATCAGTCGTCACGTTGTAACCTGTATCCTCGTAGTAACATGTCTCTGAAGAAAACACATGATATTAGAGGACATTCTCTCATGTCACAGTTTTATAAAGAAGACAAAGTAAGTGCGAAGTTATCAAACATGTTCCCCCCGAAAATACAAAACTGACGATTAAACTCTAGTCTGAATATTTCATCCACATCTTCAGTCCAATACTTCATAAGGGTCCATTTGATGTCAGGCGAGTATTTCTTGTCGTCAGCGTCCTTTATATATCTCTGGTAGAAATACCAGGGATAACAGCCACACCCGAGGTCCCTCAGCTTAGGGTACATCCACAACATCTGCAATGGTAGTCGTGAACTTTATCTTACTGGTGTTTGATGTATGCTTTTAAAATTGGTTCCATTCAGTGGTGAAGTTATGGGATTAATTAAATATCCCCTGTATTGTATGCATCAAAAATGTGAATTCCTCATAATACTTCATTGTTAAATCTTAAGCCTCATTATCCAGTTTCACTCGGCCTGATATCCAACAGCATTACGAACCTGATCTAAATAGCATTCCTTCATCGTCATGTACCCTTTCTTGTCGAAGTGGTCCACCTTATCAATACAGTTGCCCCAGGGTTCTTCCAGTCTCGTTATCTGAAAGTACAAACCTTGAGTGGTCGGTCACCCTAGATTGATGTGAAAACACCGGTATAAATTAACCCTTTTCTTGGGTATAAAGATTTTCATTTTTTAAATTTTGGGCACCTCTATTACAATTCAATTTAAAAATTTAATTGATTAGCCGGTTGTTTGAGTGGTGTATGATAATTGGATGTGAGGCAATAGCTCGCCCGTGAGCTACACGTGTTTAGCACGTTTGAGTCATGTGGTGTGTTATCTCACCCTCTTAGTTCGTAGATTTATAGCATATTCTTTCCCTGGTGACACCATAAACCCAAACTCCTGACTCAACACCGTCTCGTTAGCCATACGGAGTGTCACTAGAAACCCTGCTCGCTGCGTTTCTGGCATGTAATGCTCGGTAAGAGCGTCCAGGGTTAAAGATAGCCCTCCAACAGCACCGTTTACTCTCTGGACAAGTTGCTCATCATCGTTTAGCTCCATGCAGAACCCACTCGAGGTGTAGGCGTGTGAGGTGAATTCTTTGTGGTCCATTGGCTCTTTTGCGAACCTGGTGGATAGTTAGTATGTTATAGTGATCGAGAGAGACTGGGTGGTTCTAATCAATACTTGAAAGTTTAGCAATCAGTAAATCTTTACTTACAATGTCAACTCTTTTATGACAGCATCTTTTATGTCCATCCTGTAAGTTGTGTACATTTCTTCACTGTCCAATATTTCGTTTTTGTTATTTTGAGTGTCATCGGACTTAGAATCTCTTTGCTGCGGTAAATTTTGATATGAGAGCGGGTCATATAGGCATATAGTCTATAGAGTAAAAATCTTTGTGTCGCCATTTATATTATGGCTGAGACGCTCTTGACCACCATTTTGTGATGATGTAGTACTAGTAGGTGCATATCCTCATCGAATTTAAAACGATCGTTCAAGTCGATCAAGGTCGTTTTTACTGTAAAGCAATTTAAAGTAAAATCAAGATGCCTATCAAAATTGCCTTGCTTGTGGACTCTGTTAAGCTTATGTACTTAACATTATAAATTAATCCTGTCCCTAGTTTAATAATTAGCAAATGGCACAGACTATAGTATAAAATATAGGATCAGAAGGAGCTTCTTACCCCGGTTTCATTGTTTATCCAATCCGCGTATTCCTTGTAAATATCAGTACCGTTCAGCTTTGTGTAGTTCAAAATGTTGAGGTTACAAATCGTTACTGAAGATAGCAAAATGAACCAAATACCAATCTATTCTCTCTGTCAATAAAAAAATCAAACCTTAAAACATCAATCCCAAGATGTGTCATGTGGTCTCAACTTTTTTGTTAATAAAACACGTAACAAAACTGAAATAATGATTAATCTAACTGGCTGGCAGGGTGTAACTGTTAGCGAGCTGGCTAAACTCCAGGTTGTACGAATCATACTGGCGGTATTCTGATACCAGCAGGGATGTAATGTAGATACAGAAACCCGTCATCACCAGGAACACTATCAACCAAACTGCTCTGAAATGGACAATGGTTAAAGAATACAGCTCAGATTCAAACTTGTGATGGGTAAAAACCAACGTTTTTTGCTGAATTCTTAAGCAGATGATAATTTGCCGGTCGTACCTTCCAAATTTAGATCGGTAGTCTTTAAGCACCTCTGCTAAATAGTTGTTGCTTATATCTTTGAACCTGTGGTTGTAAGATTTGGTTAAACAATGAACATCATCACCCATACATGAGTAGACATGATATTGAACAGGCTTCTGACATTTGAATAAACAACAATTAAAACGGAGTTGTTTGACGGTCTAGCTGAATCCTGACTGTTTGCTTCAAAGGAACATTTACTAAAGAGCATTTACCAGCTCAACACTGCCCAAAATGGTTATATCAAGTTTCTAAATCTGAACATACCTAAAACGAGGAGGTTCGTCACTGTCATATTCATGATATTGAAATCATTGAAGTCATATTCATGATATTGAAATCATTACCGATCAAAACTAAATGCTAGGTGCGATCTTTAAATCTACGATCTGTGTGAACTAACTCTCACAAAGTTTACTAGATTTATCTGTCTGCGGTTCTAAAGTGTAAACGTCTTCACGACAGTAACCCACAGATTGATGCTGGGCGAAGAAAGTAAGACTATTAACAATAAAGACTCCACAAATTAAAGACATCATAACAAAGCAACATAAGAAGTATTGGTTTGTTCAACAACACAGACTTCTTTAATGGACTCACTATACACATAGCCTGTAGGGGCAGCTGTAGACTAAACTATACATACACTGTACATTGTCCTGTGAGGAATTTAGGAAAAGGAAGCTATTTACGTCTTCAGTTTACAAATCAGTGAAACACAAACATACTATGCGGGGGGACTACAGACCCCCTCAAAGTCCTTTTCAACGTTACTGCCAGGTTACATAGCAGTAGCACTAAAAATCAATAACATCAGAAATTCAAATTCAAAGCAATGCAGTTATAATAGGTATTACAAAGCTATGTAATAACATGCTGCAATCTCTGATGGATCTGCGTTACAATCCCTTCTGCACACTATTATACAGCTGCATATTCACAACCCCACACACATTGTTTCCATGTCAGACTTGCTTGCTATCCTGATCTAATTGCTTGGATTTAGGTTCGCACAGACTGACGAATCAAATAAAAACGAGAAAACGTGACATTGAGATAGCTGCAGTAATGAGGTATTGTTGGAAGACTAGAGTGAAGGTATGAACTCACAAAGTATCGTAATCAGATCGGCACTGTGTACCGTGTTGATCACGGTGGCTTTAAACCAGCTAATTCCAGGTGGCTGCTGGCCGTTCTCCATCTTTGTACAAATTGTCATGCGAATGACATGTTTTATTTTGTGGCTATTCTCGTGAGAGTGTATAGACATTCAGGTGAAAGAGAGGGAAGACTCTCTTGTTCGAGCAAGATAATTCTTATGGATGATTTTTCTTCAAATACTATAAATTTGGTACAAAATATTTTGTCTCGCCAAGCTGATTACGATCCTGTAAAAAATGATTTCAAAATAACTGATACTTATGAGGCTAAAGGCATTTTAAGCTTGAAATCGGCCACTTTTGGTATTTTTACACGTATCATATCACTAAACTTCAGTAACAGTCTATACTCACACTAATTTGCCTCCTTAAAGTTTATTTGGGTTAGAAACGACATCTGGGTCCCTACCCTCGCACAAGATTATTCTCAATTTTCTTGTTGTGTTCCACAACTATACTTCTGTATACTTCAGTGATTTTGGGCTGATGACTCCAGTGAAAGGGCTGGTGACTCTAGTGAAAGTGCTGGTGACGATGAGAAAGACCATAAACCAGGGATTCCTTCGGGAGCATGTAAGATTATATCCAAAGTTTGTTCGCCAATGGGGTGTGTCTGGGTGTCAAAGATCTTCAAGGTGGGTGCTACTTGTGATGAACTCTAGAAGGATGGGGTGGTAATACTCGGTCTGGCCGTCTGGAAGCCCATAGAATTCCAGTTCAGAAACCGAGTAAGGAGGTGCGGCTACTGATGAGAAGCCTCCTTAAAGTTTATTTGGGTTAGAAACGACATCTGGGTCCCTACCCTCGCACAAGATTATTCTCAATTTTCTTGTTGTGTTCCACAACTGGAACTTTATGTCTCAGGAACTGTACTCTTCTCCTGCTTGTTATCTTGTCATATTTTATGTTATCAAATAGTCCTTTTGAGATGTTCTCCTTGAAATTAATGTGGAAGGCTGGAAGTCACCATGATCAACAGGAAATAAATCAAAGATAAGTAAGGAATAGGGATTCACTCAATTATCAAAAGGAAGTATAGCAATGCTAATGGGAAACAGAGAGTAACTCAATGATCGACTTTGATCTAACAGGGTAACTTATAAATCAGCTAGAACAATAGAATTGTAACACATACATACATACATACACGACATTCCGTAATAAGGGACCTCTTCCTCGTGATCATCAAATACAAAATATGTTTTATTGTAATTACGGTTCATATTTTAATCAGAGACTGTACCTTTTTTCGCAAAATGATCTATACCATAGCAGTTAAGGGGGCATACACTAAACCCGTCCAAACTCCAACCCAAATGACCTCATAGGCAGTTCAGTGACCATCTAGCGCACCGTTTCCAGTTCCACGCCAAAAAAAATATTCTGAGTGTCCCTATTTTTGTAATCGAGCATTTCCTGGTTAGAGTGCAATTTTCGGAAAAACACAATTTGTTGCATGGAGAGGCTATAAGTTAATAATTTCTTGCGGTATCGGATTAAAATTTTGCCGAAGAAAAATGAGTAAACACATTTTTGAGGACGTCAAAAACTGCGCCAGTTATTGTTTAATTACAATAATCCTCAGAACGTGAAGATATGATTGAGTGTCCCTTGTTTGCTGCAGAGTTTACCAATCATAAAATCCCAATATCGTAAAACCGATAATATCAATAATCAAATGTCGAATTCATAGTGCAGCAGAAACAGCAAAGAGATAATCGATGACTTCGTTCTCCTGGTAGTGGTAATCGTAAGCTTGCATAAAGGATTCCACAAGGGAGTCGCACCTTATCCACTTGGCAGCTCTCTGGGGTGGAGGTCTTCTCATCAGCCTATCCGTGATCTTCTGGTCTGTAAGTCCTTGCTCCAGTTTGAGGGCATCCAGGAATTTCCAGATGGTATGATTTATTTAGGCCAAATTAGGCAAAATCGCGGCGAAAATCTCGAAAATCGCGGCGAAATAAAATGTATTTGCAGAGGAAAGTTAGATGTCATATTGTCATATATTCGTTAACTAGCTTTTTAGTATAGTTAGATTTAGATTAGCTATACTGAGCAGAGTTTGCTTTTAGATCAGCCCTTCCAGACGATCTCGAAAGTTCCTTCCAGCTCGCCAGACCTCGCCAAAACGGAACTCGATGTTCCACTTCGAATCTGTACTCATATACATAATACTATTAGTTAACTTGTGTTAATGCTTTATCATACTACACGTAATCAAACAAATAAACCCTGTTTACAAGAAGATAACATCACGTGATCGAATCACGTGTTTTGATAACAAAGCTAGAGACTAAGGGATATGGAGCACACAGCTTTTCATGTGTTTTATAGACTGACACAAATTGAATACTACTAGCCTTAACTATAATTCTAAAAATTATCTTAACTAACCTTATGCCTAATACGCATTACACATTATTTTATTTCCTCATCTTTGCCTTTGTTGATTGTTCATCTTCTCGCACAATTGGGGTGAGTCATCGTCATGTGAATGTTTGCAGTTTTCCATACATTGATTGGGGTGTCGACTAGTGGTCAAGTTTATGTCTGATCGTGTCAAGTTTTAGGGACGTTTTTGGCTAACAATGTTACGTCAGCAGACGAGTGGGTTAAGAAACGCTTGTGAAAGTGGATTCCTGGAAACCAATTGTTTTCCATGGTTTATGCTACCCTGATCATTATACCTTGCGATCAAAAGGGGTTGCAGCGTGTGTCAACGGTTTACTTTACTGAAGTGCGTACCTTTTAGAAGTACCTACCTCTCGATATACGATTTTGGACTCGAAGCTTCCCCCTTGTAATGCGATCTCGGAATGCAGGCGGGAGCTCTGTCATCAGAGGTACGAGAATTACTCGGACCGAAAATTTTCTAAGTCGAAATTCTTTCAAATATTTTTTAGAAACTACGTTTGTTCATGTTTCATGCTACCCTGATGATTATGAGCTTCTGAAGTCCGTACATACATGATTGGTTCCATAAACTTATATTTATAAAGAACGTGATATTTGGCCTGAAGATTTAAAGGAGAATGCACAAATTTGTCACAAACTGAAATAATCGCGATCTGTCGCGAGGATCTGAGAAAATCGCGATTTGTCGCTGCGAATGGGTAAAATCGCGATTCCGCACGTGCCGCGATTTCCTTTTTGTCCTTGATATATACCTAAGAACACTTGATCGGCTCACTCCCGTTGCATATGCCTTAGGCACGTATGTCGACTCATATGTGAACTGTGAAGTGTGCTATAAATAAGTGATAAAGATGCCACCAGTGGCAAAAGTAAGGGTAACATGATAGATGTGGTTAAATAATTAAACGAACTGCTCAGTACCGTAATTATAAAACCATTATCTGAGAATTTGTCTCAACATAGAAGATCTAAATGACATGAGGTCTAAACTGGGTCGATTGAAAAGTAAACTACAGATTACCCGGTTCACGTACTGTAGTGCGACACGTACTCTAGTGCGACACGTACCCTAGTGCGAAACCTCCGAGATCGACACTGTTGCACTAAAGTACGCTACCTGGATCGTAGTGCGACACGTACCCTAGTGCGACAGAGAATTTTCAAGGCCGACATTGTCGCAAATATAAAATCATTGTTCCAACACACTTCAAATAATCCATTTTGTCATAATGTTGATGTTGTTCGATGCTTTGGTAGAATCATCGTGACCTTATATATGACCCAATCATATGAACTTGTTATCCCAATCGGAGATATACCTTCATACGATGCGTGTGATAGGAATGAGGATCATATGCTGCTTATGAGTTACCCAGTGGATCACACACTGCATACGTGGCTTGAACTGATCACTTCGAAACACGTAATGTGAACCGACGAATCGTATTAGGCTTCGTAAGATCACTTCGAAATAAGTGACGTAAACCCGACTAATCACTTAATGGTCCAACACACTAACCCTTATAACATCAATCAAACCATATTAGGCTCCCACGTTTCACACTTCTCATGTGACCTTAACTTGGAAATAAGTCAGGATATTTTGTCGCACTAGAGTACGCTACCTGGATCGTAGTGCGACACGTACTGTAGTGCGACAGATGGTGTTTTTGTCGTACTTAGCACTAGAGTACGTGTCGCACTAGAGTACGTGTCGCACTAGAGTACGTGTCGCACTAGAGTACGTGTCGCACTAGAGTACGTGTCGCACTAGAGTACGTGTAGCACTAGAGTACGTGTCGCACTAGAGTACGTGTCGCAGTACAGTACGATTACCATCTAGCCCATTTCTAGGTCAGCTAAATTTTACTGATGGATCACATCACTAATTGTACGTCACTAATTGGTGACATGATCTGATCTCCGTGGGACCCCTAATAATGAGGGGGCCTGGTCATCGGCCATAATATATGATGACGTGATCTTAAACTGCTGACACAGCATGGATACAAATACTCAATTAGCCTAAGAGTTTGTACATCAAGTGCCAAAAGATAATATACATACGTACGTTGGTCTTTATAGCTCAGTCACCGAGTGCCCGGTTGAGATAATTCTTTTTCGTATGAGTGAATTACTATCACATTTTTTTCGAATGAAAGTTAATTTTCACACAGCTACTTGCTACCCTGTCAGTGTCAGGGTAGCAAGTAGCTACCGCTGACACTGACATCTCTATTGATGTATAGTCAAGACACGTGAGTGTTATGTGTTAGGACTCTCATTGACAAATTTGTGTTTAATCCTGTTTAATCCTGTGAACCCTACCCAGGTTATTGGTTGTGGGGCCTGGGGCCATGTGATGTGATACTTGTGGGAGCCCGGGATGAGAGGTTCTTAGTTGTCGGTCCCCGGGAATCGTGCAAAAAGGCTTATTATAATGGAGTATAAGGAGAAGAAGTAAAATACATATTTTGTTGTTAATAATAATTGTGTGGTGTTTAATGTTTATCTTAAAAGTTACACTTACAGCATATGATTACGTTTTATAGTCGAATCCTTTATTATTATGATGTAAATTGTAATACTTCAATTAAAACAAGGATACATTTTTTAATAACTATGTAAACTGTAATGAAGATTACTTCCGTTGTTACGAGTATATTGACATACAAATAATTTATATTTGACATGTAGGACATCATGGACGCAGGAGAAGTTCTTAGAGTAGTCACCAGTGGTTTGGTTGGAATTGTGGGAACTCCCGCAAACCTTGTGTCTCTTACCTACTTCTTCAAGCACGACAGAACCACCTTGGGATCCAGACTACTCATTTTACTCAACTCATTTGATCTCGTGGTTTGCATCTCGGCTATCGGAGTTAATGTGTTTTACTTTTTGCCGAGCAATGCGAGCAATTTAAAAACTTTTGATATAACTGAGAATATTTTCAAAGTGCTGTTCAAAATTTCTATACAATGTACTGGGTTTACAACTTGCTTGCTGACTATCACAAGGTCCATCAGTTTAGTCAAGCCTTTCTACCAGATTAACCAATTTAGAGTCGCAACTGCCTTACTTGTACACGCTATCATCATATCTGTGATGGAGATCTTGGTGCTAATTCTCAGGCTGACAAGAAGTGTACCACGGGATATCTTTCGGAAAGCATGGTATATCGTGCTTATCGTAGAATTGGTCGATCTGATTTTAATATTTCTTTTGGTTGTTATCTCGAACATTTTCTCTGTAGCGAGTCTTCGAAAGAGTCAAAGCATTGCTGTAAATAACCATGCTATTGCAAAACAAGCTACAATAACAGTATTCATCCTATCAACGCTTTTTTGTTCTCTTAACCTTGCTCTTATAGTAATATTGCTCTGTCTCTCTATTGAAGTATCTATACCACCGACAGTATCTTGGATTGCGATGTGGCTGGCGCTGCCACTCAACTCAGCATTAAATCCATTAGTTTACATTTGGAGGAAGGAACCTTTGCGGAGGTACTTGATGGACGAAATCAAATGTTGTTCTGGTAGCCGCCACGTGGAGAAAGGTCACACTCTGGGTCATCATTCAAGGAGCAAAACCGCACAAAACCATACAGTATCATACCTTGAGTCTGAAAACTGAACTCTAAGTCTAACCAACGATCACATTTCATACTATCTTTGAAATTGGCAGCCACCGTGGAGAAACATTTCACTCTGGACCATTCTACCCTTGCTGATCAAGTATCAGCCCAGACCGACTTGAAATTGAATCTGGAAAATGAACTTCAGCTTTTGTTGTTGCAGCCGCCAGAAACGTCACAATCCGGATCATCCACCAAGGAACAAACCGTACTAAATCGGCAATATCGTACCCTGATTCTGAAAACTGAACTCTAGCCAGCAAATATATTTTATACAACCTATGAGTATTGCTGAAAGCACAGTGTAAGGCCTACACGGACCGCCTCTAACTAGCCAATCCCTGTTTACATGCCGTGTAGCAGGGGACTAGAAAGAGCTAAACTAGTAAGCGGGGCTATAAAACTGGTATCGGAAATAGACATTATAAGTCGCTGCACTTTTAGTAATCATATGACAAGCTTACCATTTTGGTCTTAAGTTTAACTACTTTAATATCATATCTTGAAAGTGTATGTTATTGTCTGGGCATGCTATACCTATAATACCTAATTATAAAAACGAATACCTTGTTAAGTTAATATAAATTCGCATCAAAACATTCAAAGTTAAATTATCTAGTCGCTGCTCACAGACACAGTGATACATAACACAATTATTATTCCCTGGATTTCTTGCCGGTCTGCAGTTTGCATCAAGGGAAGACCGAAGAAAGCCTATGGTTTATATTTTTCGATGTTATCTTAATTTTTAGAATGGTTTTTATTCTGAAGATTAATAATCATTTATTTCCGTAGCGTTTGTAATTTGTTTACGATTTAAAACTGAATAGTCTCAATAAAATATCCTTATCTGCATTTGCTGTACAATTAAGGTAGTAATTATTATGTATCATATTGCTAATATTAAATTTTTCTGCGAAAATAAATGATTGTTTTATTGTGTTTTTTTAGTTTTAACTTCTTAAACGGGAAAATTGTAACATGTTAAAACTATTATTTCCGTTTGTCTCGTTTCCTTAATTCTTTAATTACTCTGGTAGGACACACACAGCCAAACAGCTCCAGAAACAGCTCAGGGATAAATGATAATTGACACATATTATACATTAAATATTAGGAGAGTTTTTCTGTTTTCATCTCGTCGAATAAATTTAAAAAGTAATTTGTACGAACAATACATATACGGTTTACACGTGTTATGTAGTGTGTACTTTCACTACTGGTTTATAGTTCTATTTAAGCTGGAGCGTTAATATTTACTTGTTACTATTCAACATAATAAAGATCGGTGTGGGAGAAAGAGGACCAGAAAGTGCTGTTTCTTTACTTACACGCAGAACTAGAAGAAGTGTTTCAGTGGCTAGGAAAATGTAACTCTTTGTTTTAGAGAAGCTATGCACATTAATATTCATTGTAATCTGCACCAGATCACCAGCCGCAAGACTGAATCTTTTCTCCGCAGCACCGCAGTGAGCACTAATCAGGGTGCACTAAACAGTCGCCTGGTTCTACAGGTATTATGCTACTCTTTTAACGTGGTCTAATGACAATCTCTGTGAGATTAGTTATTGAAATGAGCTCCGTTGTTACTAAACATAGATTTGGCAGCCTAGCAGAGCTCTTTGGCATGTATTTAGTACCCTTAACGTGGTGTTTTTTAAGAACCTAAATATGGCGATTTTGAAAAAATATATTTCTATTTTTTTTCATCTTAACATTCAGTGATATTGAATTAGAATATTTTGAACTAAGAATGAACCTACTGAACGACTATTGATGAGTGATGATTCTAAATGAGGGAAGAACAAAAAGTGAAGGGGTATAATAGTAAAAGGGGTATAATAGCAGACGGCCGTGTTTGCCAGCACTGTGATGGGAGATAAGAGAGAGAGACAGTTGAGACATGACGAAAGTCGGAAGATTTGTAAACAATAGCAACTGCAAATTGCAATACTAAAGTTTATCGAGCAGTCGCGTATCAGTCTTCATCATGACTTATAATTGATTACTGGGCGGTACTCAGTCTGTTACTGTTAGTGTCACTCCAACACATCCTCATATGTTTATGAACACTAAGACTGGGGTCCCCAGGTAAATATCTAATTGGTTCTTCCACATACTCTTCATACATACGTCTTTGTTATTATTATTAAGCTATTAATATTATATTGCCATTCAGCCTTATAATCTTTTATATGGGCTAGTCGGCTAGTCGAAAGTTCGAGTTATTCTTTTTTCCTATCGTAAGTTCGTTCGCCAATGGCTCACCGCTTCGCTGTTGAAACGTTCACACCACTTGTTGGAACAATCGGAGATTTTGAAAGCGGGGCTTGCCTTAAAACTTTAAAAATCGCTTAGTTACTTCATGAATAAATAAATTATTCTAACGGTTGACATCGGAAGTAGTTTGACATGAGCAACAAATATCTTATCGGACCTTACTTGGGCGTACTTAACTTTATATTTTGACAATTTAGGATTTTTGCTTTAATTTTTTGTGCTGAGAATGATGTACAGCATGTACTTGTTGTTGAACTAGTTTCAAGTATAGTTTTAATTATATAAAGCATCATAAAGCTCCTTTCCATTGCATATTAAGAGAGTAAAGTTATGTTACTTTGCTATTATATATACAGGCTGACATGAAAATAATTTATATTTGTCATGTGGACCCGGAGAAGGGGAGAGCACTCCCATGCAACTTTATCAAACACAGCATTAATGTGGGAACGTGGAATGTGTTATCATTGGAGAGCAGCTCCTCAAAGCTGTATGAATTGTCACAGAATATGTCAGCATATAAAATGGATGTCTTGGGGCTGACAGAGACGCACAGACCCGGCACTGGTGAGGTTACCTTGGATGATGGGTCCCTCTTTATTAACTCAGGAAGAAGTGATGGGTACAGACGACAAGGGGTAGGTTTAGTCCTCTCGAAGAAGACTAAAAATTCATTGATTTCATACAGTCCGATATCAGAACGTATTCTTGCAGCGAGGCTGCACAGTCGACATATCAACATTTCGATTGTGATAGCTTATGCTCCAACTGAGGATGCAGCAGTCGGGGTAAAGGACGACTTTTATCAGCAACTATCTGGGGCATTTGATGAACTACCAGCTCATGACGTGAAGTTTTTACTTGGAGATCTAAATGCTCGCATTGGCCAAGATAACTCAGCTTGGTCCGGTGTGATTGGTAAGCATTCCCTTCACGTTTCATCAAATGACAACGGCCTTCGACTATTAGATTTCTGTGCATTACATCAGCTGACAATCGGTGGGACGCTTTTCCAGCATCGTGATATTCATAAAGGAAGTTGGAAGTCTCCTGATGGCCGCACAGTAAATCAGATTGACCATGTCTGTATTTCTACCAAGTGGAGTCACTCTCTACTTGACGTAAGATCATGCAGGGGTGCAGACATTGGCTCCGATCATTATTTGGTTCGAGGTCAATTTAGAGTCAAACTTATGGCAGTTCAAAAACTGAACGCCTCTCGTAGGATATCTCCAGCAATTGAGAATCTTAGAGATCAGTCCAAGGTTGAAGAGTACTGCATTGCTCTTCAAAATCGTTTTAGCTGCCTACCAATGGAGGAGAATCTTGATGGAGAATGGACATTAGTTAAGGATACTATTAAAGAAGTGTCTATGGAGGTACTGGGTGAGCGCCCCCGGCGTAGAAAGCAGCAGCATTTGTCTCAGGAGACAAAAAACCTTATTGCCGAACGCAGTAAGATTAAACAGATGGCGCCTAGTGACAACAACAATAGGAGCGAGTATTCTCGGGCCAACAAACTTGTCAAAAAGAGCTGCAGGAAAGACGACGAGAATTGGGCTCTTAGAGTTGCAGCAGATCTGGAAACAGCTGCTGTCCATGGCCGGCAAAGGGAAGTCTGGCAACGGATAAAAACACTGTCCGGTAAGAAGAATCGAAAATCAACTGCTGTAAGAGACAAATCCGGGAAGTTGATTGCTGATCCCTCTGCTCAGAGAGAGAGATGGGGAGAACATTTTTCGGAGCTATTAAACCCTCCTCCCACGAATGCGGATCTGTCTGACCTGGACCATCTTGAAGTGGTCCCATGCTTTCCTTATCTTGGTGATGGTGATGGTCCCCCCACTAGACTTGAGATTTTAAACTGTCTCAAAAAATTGAAGAACCACAAAAGTGCTGGGATCGACGAAATCTCTAATGAGCAGTTAAAGTATGGGGCAAGTGGTCTTGTGGATAGGATGGAGAAATTGTTCTCTAAAGTTTGGAATTCAGAAGCAGTGCCTGACGACTGGTTGAAAGGCATCGTGATAATTGTACCAAAGAAGGGTGATACCTCTCATTGCTCCAATAATAGGGGGATCACTCTAAGATCTACAGCATCTAAACTGTATCAAATCATCATATTACAACGCATGAGTGACGGTTTAGAAAGTTTGCTACGAGACAATCAGTGTGGGTTTAGAAAGAACAGATCATGCATTGATCAGATTTATTCACTCCGCACTATTATACATAACTGCATTGAATATAATCTCCCCCTGTATGTAAATTTTGTGGACTTCAAGGCAGCTTTTGATTCCATCGACAGGAATTATATTTGGAAAGCTTTCAGTCATTACGGCCTGCCATGTAAATACATTCGAATAATACAGGCATTCTTTAATGGAACTGTTAGTGCTGTTAGACACAATGGTGAACTATCAGAATGGTTTGAAGTAAGTTCAGGCAGTGGCCAAGGAGACATTCAGGGTCCTCCACTTTTTAATGTCTGCCTCAATGTGGCTGCTGAGAGAACAGAAAGCAACAAAGTGGTGTCCCACGGAGCGGTTCTTCAAAGATCTATCAGTCCGCTTGTTGATGATATCACTGTGTTAGATACAGATTATGCAGATGACATGGCTGTACTGGATAACAGCGAGGAAGGTCTTCAAGAAACAACTGACCTTTTGTGTATGTATGGTGCCCAGGGAGGTCTCAGAATCAATGGTAAAAAGACTGAGGCTATGGTCATTGGTAAAACAACCTCTCAACGGCCATACACGAAAGAAGCCACAGTGAACATCACTGTTGAAGACACGCCAGTGCAGCAAGTTAGTGACTTTACGTACTTAGGTACAATTATTTCCAGCGACGGTACTATCGACCGTGAGCTGTCAGCGAGGATTCAGAAAGCTTCCGGAGCCTTCAATCAACTGAGTAATATATGGAAAAACCGCAACATCCAGTCTTATACAAAGATCAGGATTTATAAG